CGGAATCCTATTGAGTCGAATCAGACGCCACATGAGACGATTCAGAAAGTCGGTGTATATCTCGGGAGACCCACCCACGTCTTTGACCTATTTGTTTAATATTATGGTTTTCTTCATCATAGACAAAAACTTTCCCGTCAATTACAAGTATGTCATAATTGAGGAAAGCGACCCTGCCTTCGTCTCGTGCTGGCTTCATAAAATCTAACAACTATGATCTCGTATCACGAACTCTCTGTGTAAAGTCCTCGGACACTCTGAACTCTTTATTTCCTTTAAGGTATTTTTGGCAGCATCAAAAACATCAAATTTGTCTTTGAAAAAGGCAAACAATTTAACATCCTATGATCGTTAGGCTCGCTGACTTGGTTGATGCATGTCATGGATCCCAATTGCGTGGATTGATGATCATGATATTAATCACTGGATTGTCTGATCCAGACTCGATTATTTACAGACCGCCGTCATATAGCTGGAATATTGCTGAGTGCGGCGTTAAACAACAAACCAACCAACCAACCAAATGTGATCATTATGTTTAAAAAAAAGCATTCAAATCGAGAAAATCTTTTGTGGGTAACCCACAGCTGCTGAATCGCGAGAATCAATATTCTGTCTGTCAAACGTCCAAAACAATTCCAAGAGCAAGATAATTCCTTCATCAATTGCGTGCATCTACGTTTAATAGAAATATCATCCAGTTTTTTTAAAATAATATATTCAGTTGTAGTTGTAACTTTATTTGAATAAACTCATTCTATCCCAGCCAGCTGCCATCCACAGTTTCCTTCATGAAACGTTTGATGTTCTAACTGATAAGGCCTCAAATAACATCGCCAATATAACGTAAGCATCACTACAATAATTGTTTCATCAAAGAACTTGGTATACGTGACATATCTAACAATGCCACATATAATTCCAGTATGTTAACTGAGGAAGAAATCTGCCAAAACCATGCATCAGTACTGTCAACGATTAGCTTGACTCTAAAATCGGAAAACATGTTCATTCCACTTTTGTACTGGATTCCGAAGCTACATCAAAATCTATACAAAGAGAGTTATGTTGCTGGCTCCAGCAAATGCACCATCAATTGTCTCAAAGATTAACCGTAATCCTTAATACAGTCAGGGGAGCCCTTTCTTTATATTCACAGAAGGTATTTGCGACAGGTAGAATTAAAACCATGTGGATTCTCTAAAACACAAAGGATTTAATTGACCTTTTTACAATGTCCGAATTGAACCAAGTTCAAAACGTTTCATTTTTCAACCTTGTACATCACTATCTCACATGACAAACTTAAGCAAATACTTCATTCCTTGACCCATGGGGATTGTGTTACAGTTTGATGATACAGTTACAAATTTATCTTCAGAGGTTCAGGACAATTTGTCAAAAATGAGGGCAATGTCAACTGAAGTTTACTGAGACACAATATTTGAAATCCTTGACTTGACTCATTGATAACACAGAAAACATCCATGTAACATTTGTGGAAAGAGATTTCGGCAAGAAGTAGGCATCCCTATGTGCACAAATTGTGCTCCCTTTCTTGCTGATTTATCCACCTGAACTCGAAATTAAGGAGACCAGTGAGACCGCCTCCACTGATGGCACGTGGTCATGGGCACTGCACACAGGTCACAAATCAGGTGAAGATAAGCAACGTCGGTAGTGGAGACCCTTGGATGTGTGACCGCGTTTCGGCAGTTCCAAACATGTAACACATGTGGCGTCTCCTTAGGCAAGTGACTTTGTGCGAAATGTGCCCAGCAGTGGTTTGGATGAGATGCAATGTGGTTGTTAGCCTTCTCGCGCCTAACAGGCACCTTGGGTTGTATACTCCCCAGGGAGCTGAGAATGATTCCTGGGTGCACATTGACCGGTGTAATAACAGCCATTTGTGCATGCCACATGAGTGGTGTGGAAATATGCGCATTATAAATGGCCTAATATCTCTTTCACAATAATATCTATGCACAAAGAGTGACCAAACTCTTTCCACAGGACTCTAAGACAAGTGGGGTGACTTCAATTTTCCAATAGTCAACTTTCCTTTCATTTCGAGCAATATTGCTGCAGCTCGAGCCTTTGGTGTTTACATTTCACAAATTTTGAGGTACAATCGAACATGCACTATCTGCCGAGACTTCAAATAGCGTCATAAGAATCTTGTTTAGGTGTTGTTTGCTGTGCATCATTCAAGGCATTAGTAAAATTTCTAAAGGTTTATGGTAGGCATGTGGGGGACATTTCCAAATTTGATTAATCAATGACAATGATGTTCGATGCAATTCCCTATCTTGACTTGTCACATATGTTCCCGTGTTTTTTTCAGGTGAACACTTAACTTGCCTTCACATGTGTTTATGACGGGTGCTACCGGTGGGGCAGGATACGCTAACCTATTCGCGAACATCTGGTATCATCACTATTTGATTGTGATTCATAAACACATTCGCATGATCATGATTGAGTCGGAATCGTACAATCGACTATGGAAACGGTTTTGATGCTTTTATTTAAGTAATAAAATAAAATGGCTATTCATATTAAATGAAATTACAATATTGACTATTCCATTCCAAAGGAAACACATGCGCATGATTGAGTCGGAATCGTACAATCGATTATGGAAACGGTTTTGATGCTTTTATTTAAGTAATAAAATGAAATGGCTATTCATATTAAATGAAATTACAATATTGACTATTCCACTCCAAAGGAAATACGTACATGTCCACAGCATCCCCTAACATTGGTCTAAAGGTATGAAATATAGTATGCGATACTAAATTTGTGTAATTCTAATCTGGTTTGGATCCACATATGATATGACATTGAAGTAAAGTATTGAAAAAGTATCAATAATTTAATTCTTCCCGTGAAACAATATGTAAAAGATACGCAAAATGTAAATCATGATTGAAACTGTAAGAAGCTGGAACCATTATCGTGTATATCCTTTTTCATCCGCCCTTCACTTCAAAGAAATGACTAAATATGTATAACGATGTGTACTTGCGTATGATATCACTACTGATAACTGACTATTGAAATGGCGTGTTCACTGATAGCAGTAAGGGGGATATTCAGAGTAGGACAGTCGTTAATTCAGGGATCGTATATACATTAATATGTCATGTATGATATCACTACTGATAACTGACTATTGAAATGGCGTGTTCACTGATAGCAGTAAGGGGGATATTCAGAGTAGGACAGTCGTTAATTCAGGGATCGTATATACATTAATATGTCATGTAGGTAATCAGAAACATGCTCAGAGTTTGCGTATCGTTATTTGTTTTACGTTTTACATCGTAGCCAAGAGAACTGCTCAGCAATACAATGCAGATATATACCGTTGTCTACGTGCTTGATTCATGATGTCACGCAGAATGGAATAATTGACAATATTTTTTTTGAATTTACCAAATTATAAGTTTTGTTGCGACGGTAATCTTCCCATGTATATTCTCATTCATATCTGTCAATGTACGCAACGTATAGACGAATGAATCTGTCGAAATAGGAGAAATTCAACACAGTATAAAATCTGAATTGTGCTTTATTTACTCTTCAAACAAGTAAACTTTTCTGAGCACAGAGTTCGTTTTCACGCTTGATTTATTTTGCTTGAATTCATCGAGGCGATTTGATTTCATGACAAAGACAATTGTGATTTGATGTTTGAATGTATACGTAATGCAGGAATTTATCTCTCGACGCTGTATATGTCATGTAATAGCCGTCTCATAACCGACACACGCAAAATGTGATATTGAAAACACTAACCATTATGGCTGAAAGTTCACTGCGGCGGCAGTGATTGCTCAGTTACTAAAAGTAGCTAAACGACACAGTAGCTACTGGCGACGTTTCAGAAAGATCATTGGTGATTATGAAAGATACCTGAGATCACTTAGATTTTCAAAACATACACGAAATAACCCTGTAAATGATGATCTAGTAAAATGTCCAAAGTAACGATAGTAACGATGAACCTAATTTTCCGAGATATTTTTCTGTAACTTTTACTTTTCCTAAAACGACTTTGATCAGGTGAACAGGGAACAGAGAATTTCCAAATTATGAAGTGTATAAGTGTGCGTGTTGTACTTGAGTTCTATTCAACTTTAAAGTGCTAGTTGAAGAAAACGGACATATTTGTCCCTGTGGGCATCCATGGGCTAAGATGTAATTTCACTCGAGACGAATCTTTAGAAACCGCAGATGAATATATTGTTTGAGTGAACCACCTCATTTATCGAGTACATGTAGTTCCAAATGAAGAGCTTAGAGCCATAAGGGTCAATGTCACGTGGAGCTTTGAGAAAAGTAATGATAAAGATAACCTAAATTCCTAAACTTTAAAACATTCCGACACTAGACATATAAATGTTGCAATAAAAAACATTAAAAAAAAGTAAAAATACTTACTTTATTGTGGCCCATCAGGCATTTGCATGGGATTTAACATGTGAGATTGATAAACTACTACTGAACGTACAAATACATACTATTGAAGCTTTTTTAAATGAGGGGCGGTCGGGTAGCCTAGTGGTTAAAGCGTTCGCTCGTCACGCCGAAGACCCGGGTTCGATTCCCGACATGCGTACAATGTGTGAAGCCCATTTGTGGTGTCCCCCGCCGTGATATTGCTGGAATATTGCTAAAACGGCGTAAAACCATACTCACTCACTCTTTTAAATGATTTTAACTAATGCCAACTTTGTTGAAATAGTGATATTTGAAACATGATAATAATGTCATGTAAGCAGACTTGCATCGTTATATGGAACTAAATTTAGGTTCCCCTGGGTGACATTATTTGCTTACTTATCGTATCGTGATACCAAGTTTTTCAGATTAGATAATCGCATCGATAACACTATCAGTAATATGATCACTGTAAGTAATAATAGTATGTCGCTAGGAAGTTAGAGAATAGAAATAGTGGCTTGCTATACGAAAGCCTTTATATGTTCTAGAGACACCTTGATTTTCTGAAGATTGACATAGAAACAAGCGAATGGCCGGCAGTGAAGGACATGGCGGCATCTGGAATGTTCTCCAAAGTCAAACAGTTTGCTGTTGAGTGGCATCTGTTTGCAACATATCCAAGCAGATCGGAATACGTAGGCATTTATGCAAGTGTCATGGCCATGAAGAAGCAAGGATTACGAACATTTAGAGCCGATTTTCATGGAAAGGACTACAGAGATAAGACCTTCCGTTTCCAGGCAGATGTTAACTATGTTAACATATTATATAAAGGCATGTAACACTGTACTGTATTTGAATGTCACATACCTTCCGGATATGCATCTGTTGTTTATTACAGAGGAATAGTTTAAACTTGCAATTTCATTTATTGCGTCATACATAATATATGCCTGATGTGATCCGGTTGCGTGTGTGCATTCTATTTTCATTATACTATATTCACACGCGTTTCTCTCGCTCATAACATACCCAATTGTCCATAACAAAACATCAACGTCGGCAATGAACACACATGAAATATTATGCCCCTGTCATTCGCTTCATATCAGGATATAACTAATTAGCATTCTCGGGACATAAATATTATATTTTGTTTAATAATCTATACATATGTTTGTATGATTTTCTGTTTATTCGATGTATTTATATCATTGAACAATGTTTCATTTGTTTGATCGAATCGAGTGAATTCTTATTTATTCAATGTTGACCAATTAGTAATATTAAACGTCGTGTAACCTTTGTGTTTATGAAAACAAATTTCGTCCTTTTTTAAAGGACTCTTCTTATTATGTCCTGATTATGTCATATTTGCAACTTGTATTATGTTGGTTGAAAATCGTGTTTACGAGATTGGCGCGTTGTTGTTTAATTGCTATATTTGTGCTTGAGGATGTATATTTATACTCAGATTAAATATATCTTCTCCGTCGTGAGGATTTATCATTATTACTTTAACATGAATGCAACTTTTTCTTACGCGCAGTCAACAACACTAGCTTTTTCACTAGTTTCATCTAGTTTATAAATTTGGGGCCGTCGTGTGCCGACATTGAAAGCCGTGCTCAAAGAAGACGCTTCGACGAAACAAGTGGGCGATAAACAAGGTTGTCTCACTTGGCAACGTGGCAGAACAACAGCCGCAACAAGGAGTTGACTACTGTTGATAAGATGGACGATGAGCAGCTGTCATTGTGGTTGACAAGATTTGTTCTTGAGGTAAGAAAACAACAATTATGGAAAAGCCGTGTTCTTGGTGATCCGCAAAACCGTTCTACATATGTATGCTTCAGATCGTCGGAATCGTACAATAGATTCTGTTTTTAGCCGAAATATCTTACAATTATTAAAAGGGTCTTGTCACGTTTATTGGTATATAATAAAAACAACGCTGTCCCTTTTTAGTGGTCATTTGTTTTATTTAACATCGCGTGACAAAAGGACAATGGGAACGAGATGAGAAAAGCACCAGATGTTCAAACGTCATCATGCCTAGTCCAAACCTGTATCAATGACACCCTGATATTATGCGAGTTCAACTGAAATAGCGGATTGGCGGATAGTGCGTTTTTGAAAAGTGTACTCGAAAATGACACACTGTATGTATTGACTGATCCTGTTTGTTTGTTGTTTAACACCATCTTTATGACGGCGGTCTGTAAATAATCGAGTCCTGACCAGACAATCATGTGATTGACATCATAAACATCGATCTTTCGCAATTTGGATACGATGACATGCATCAACCAAATCAGAGAGCCTGACCACCCGATCCCGTCAGTCTCCTCTTACGACATGCCTAGTCGCCTTTTACGGCAAGCATGGGTTGCTGAATACCTTTTCTACCCCGGATGGTCACGGTTCATCTGATCCTGTAGAGCAACTGATCCTTTGTACTAATTTTCTCCAGGGGAATTTTTGCATTGAACAGATTTTACACCAGCAATAATTGTTCCCGATGGAATTTAGTCCAAAGGAACGGATCATTGTTGGCATAATCGTATCAGTTATCTCAGCAATGGGCAAAGGGGCACAACTGTGCTATTTTCCCCGGTTCCTGTGACAACCTTCTGACTAAATGCGCTTACTCCATTGGCTGATGTAGCTTTGGCAGACATACAGAATACAAATATGCAGACCAAAATTACTCGTCTCGTAATCAGGTTTATGTTACAATTAATGATCGAAATAAGCCTCTGTAAAGTAAAATGTACATAAGCTTACTTAAATTTTACATACTTTGTTAGAAACGTCTTCTAGATGTTTTGATTAAGTAATTTACACGCTCATCCTGCATGAGATAAATGGTGCATGTCGGGTCATGGATCTATGACGTCAGATGTGATGCGTTCATGAGCATCGCTTCACACCAGTATGGTACCAATATGTTCATTTGCGCATCGAACCAATGATATCTCTTGAATAAGGAGTAAGTCTTCATATATTGACCAACATGTATGGTATTTGCGTTTCTGTTGTCGGTGAGTATATATGCTAGTTTCAGAGATTCACATACATTATGTATGTATAAATCGTATGGTATTCTCGTTTCTTTTGTCGGTGAGTATATATACTAGTTTCATAGATCCACATACATTATGTAGGTATAAATCGTATAATAGTATTCGCGTTTCTTTTGTCGGTGAGTATATATGCTAGTTTCAGAGATTCACATACATTATGTATGTATAAATCGTATGGTATTCTCGTTTCTTTTGTCGGTGAGTATATATACTAGTTTCATAGATCCACATACATAATGTAGGTATAGATTCGTTGTCAAACCTGTATATGCTTTCAGTTGGGAAATATAAGTAAGTGTTGGGTGCAAACAGTATTTGTCCAAAACCTGCTGTTCGTGGGTTACTGAGGCCGCGTGACACGCCACGATTTTATTTGGGCATAGTACTGGTATTTATTGTAGCTTGTAATATCAAAATATTGTTACCTATCTCCCTGGTTTTATAAATATTTCAGATAACCCTCTTCTATATCGTTATGACATGAAATTTCTAAAGTCATGGTGTAAAGGAATCTGTCCCGGGTAACGGGAGACAACTCTGTTTGGTTTGCTCAGATAGTGATTTGCATGGCGCTGTATTGTGCTATAATTTTATAACTCTTCATAATGTAATTTATTTTCACTCACATTTAATTTATTATTATTCACGTATAATTCCTTTTTATCCATAATTGATAATGGTACATTCTGGAGTATTATTCTGAAGGATGCTTACACGACATGGGTAATAGAGTTTATATAAAGTCATTTCCATGCACATTCTTGAAGTTTAAGTACTATTATTGTATCCTTAATAATGCAAATAATTTTTATTAACATAATGTATGGTTCTCTTGTTAATTGAATTTATATGTACGAACACATACGTTGATAATATCCCTACTTGTACTGGATTGAAGATATGCGACCCAGTTCAACCACATATCTGACATATCTGTGCGATCTGATCCCGGATGTGGCAAGCCGCCACAATCGTAACTGAGGCGTGTCCTCGACAAGCTATACACAACTATGCTTTGTTTGTTTGTTGTTTAACGCCGGTTTTACCACACTGTGCCCTCACCCAAATGATTAAATGCATAGGGATGATTAAAATAATATATGAGTGATTGATGTCAATCTTGAATGTGTATAAAATGGCATTTGCAAGTCATACTGCCATAACAAAATGGCTAATGCTTAAGTAAATGTTCGGTTTGTTGCTAACGCCCAAGGTGGACAGAACTTAGTTCTCAACGGACACAGATTCCGAATTAAGAACAGAAGTAACACCACCATACATGTACATTGGCGTCCGACACCACAAGTCCGACCTTGTGACACAGACAACGTTTAGCTGAATGCATTAGAAGATGCTGATCTTGAAGATGCAAGAGTCCTTAAGTTTGCGGATTATGTGACAGAACAGTGAGTGGAAGCTGACAGGAGAGACGCGTGGAACCATTTTAGGACCATGGGTGCCAGGACAACCAATCACTTTGAAGGCTGGCACTCCAAGCTGAAGAAATCGGGCCGAAATCATCCAAACATCCTTAAATTTATTGACATTATCAAGAATGAACAATCACGTTCAGAGACATTATTGATGGAAATTAATGCCGGAGGAAGACTGCCACCAAAGCGAAGGAAATAATTCCAAATTGACGACAACATCCTGATAGAGAAGGACAACTTGTTGACTGGCAGACTGACACCAATTGAATATGCTGACGCTGTGGCTGAATATGTTGGATTGTGAACTGAATATTTCTGCTGTAAAGAGAATTTGAGATGTATATTTATTTATGCAATACGTAATCTAACAATATGAAATATATGAAATTTTATGAAATATGTGCTTCTGTAAAGTGAATGTATTGTTGAAATGTATATGAAATTTTATGAATCTGACAGATAGTAATTTTCTCTATACAGACATGCAACAAACTACACGTAATACCTCTATTGTTACCCACTTTACCACGACTGACTACACCTGTAGGGCACAGCGAGGTGTTCCCTCAACGCCGCGCTCAGCAATGTTCCAGCTATATGACGGATGTCTGTAAATAATCGAGTCTGGACCAGACAAACCAGTGATTGGTATCATGAGCATCGATCCATGCATTTGGGATACGATGACATGCATCTACCAAGTCAGCGGGTCTGACCAGATGATCCAGTTATTCGCCTCTTACGACAAGCATAGTCGCCTTTTACGGCAAGCATCACTACTATGCAATATCCAAATAAGAGCTGCTGTGAAGGCAAATATGTCCATGCTGATACATCACATACCCACTTTTATTCTTAAGAAAATGCTGGTATCACTTTTCATAAATTCTCCATTTTCACCAATGCATGGATCTATACCATAATATGTTTCCGTGTTTTTCTTTCAGGTAAACAGTTGACATGCCTTTGAATGTGTTTATGACGGGTGCGACCGGTGAGAATTCTTGTGAATAGTGAAAGGGTTTTGTCGCTTTTCTTTGATCAATTTGCACACGAAACCTCTTGTATACAAACGAAAATCACAGATGTTTTGCATATACAGTGCATGATCGATCATACGCAGAATGTAGGAGTGCGTTACATAAGCCGAAGATACACGTCGTTGATGTGTACTGATTACAGTTATTATAGTAAAGGTATAAACCAAGTTTTAGGCATGGTAACACAAAATTTACCAACAATAACAAAGACAATGTTCAGTGGACATAATGGAAAAGTGGCTACATGACGCAATTAGTCCATCCTAATCACGATAACTGCTACGTTAGGCAAAGCAATATCTCCTATTTAAAAAATGTACTGACATTATAACTTTACTGTTGATTTAAACATATTTATTCACAAGGAGTGAACGGGATTGGGGGACAAGTTCTTCCAACTTTACTGTTGGAACTATATATATAAGACGCAACCGAATGTCCGATATTGCTAACTGTACTAACGGAGGTATATGTGATCTCAATAAACTTCGTAACATGGTTTAAATCATTTCTTGGTGTGTGTCTGAGCACATATAAATGGAAACCGTTACACTCCTGTGTCTTGGTCCAAAGAGGTCCCTGCCCCAGTGTAAACATGTCCTACATTAATTGATCATGTGATCTGAGACCAGGATGTGGCTTACAAAACTTGGACTGAACACTGAACCAAGGATTGCTACATGTAACTACTTGGTGTACCAACGTAAATGGATATTTTAAATTTTATGTTCATCATTTGCGTTTTTTTGGTTCGAACTTACAGTGTGGCCGAAAAAACAATTTGTTTTTGTGACGAAATGTTTAACTAGGGGTTATATTTTAGAATATTTGTATTTTTATTAAACTTTGTATATGAAGCAAAGCTACTTTTTCCCCGTTAGGATATATGCGCATACTACAACAAATTGGAAAGAAGTCCTTCAACAGAAGCAACAAGGTCCACTTCCACGACCTGGGCCTCTCGGGGAATGACAGTGACACGTATGGTCCTACTAAGGACATATACGTCAAAGAGACAACAACATGAAAGATCAGACGCCTCAAGACCATCATAGAGATGCTTGGACATACAAATGTACGTACACGTGAATTCCACAACTGTCATTTACAAAATGTACATCTACATGTAGTATCATACCTATATACTAGAATAATTTCAATTTCATACATAATGGATTTATGAAAATCACCAACATCACGGAAGATAAAAAAAAATACTGGAACATGACTGATCACTGACTCGTGGAATTCTCCCTTCTTAATTTAAGGTTGCGTACGATTACAGCTTGCTATCCAGTAAGTAACCGGATAACAGTATGATACCCGTGAAACCCATGCTTGCCGCAAGTGGCGGCTAACGGGATCGGGTGGTCAGCACTACAAGCACCCAGGCCACAATTCGCTTTCTGATCCGTTCCATGGGACGATGATGCAAGCCAGTTACCTCTAATGGTGGCCATTCAAGATATTGAGAACAGATGACCTTCACCTTGAAATATTAACGTTCTCTGTGTGCCATATGGAATCTGAGCCAATTACAATGATATATGTCAATTTTGAACAATCGATTACAATCTGTTGATCATTTATATGATAAATAAACTACTAGTATACATCTTAAATCGCTTTTGTGGGATTTATTTGTGCAGAAAAAAAAAATCCTGCACAACTTATAAACCTTATCACACGATAATTTTCTGCATTTAAACGGTCCCCCTTATTTTTATTTATGAAGCATATAAACCTTTTGAACCAAACGGCAGGGTGTATCAATTATCCACAACAATATAATAACTCGGCTTTATTTGCTTGTTTCGAAACTCCCTAAATGTATTCGTTTTTTGAGATACAGAAATCAGATATGCTTATCTGAATGCTTCGTTTACGTGTATCGAGAATTTAGAAAACTCGCCGCTAATTGGGTAAACAGAACGTTCATCTGACGCAACCTCATGATTTGTCAAATAATTCACAGGAATTATCCACGGATTACAGAAATTGAACACGTGCATATAATATCCAATATATTGCCGATCATCGATATTCCTACCTTTGTAAATAGTATATAACGACTAGCTGCGTTAATAAGTGAGTCAGTGGGACACCAGGGAAGCGTTGAGTACACTGCGCAACAAGCACACTGAAGCTGCAGGCTGTAACAGGCTCACGCAGGTACAATCATTATGGCCGTCGGAACGAAGACTGTGGTCATAGTCCTTGTTGGTGGCGCCTTGCTTGCTGCCGTAATTCTATATAGTGCTCAGGATAGGATTGGAGAAACAGGAAATACCATCATGCAGATGATTTCAAGTAAAGGTAACAAACATATCCACATCATACATGCAATTGTGGACATCAAGAAATCACGATAACAGAAACAAGGCTAACTTCTATCAGAAGATAACACGCGAGCGACATTTGAGGTCAGTGTGACCGTTATAAAAGCAATTTTTTCCCGTTTACCAGATAATATTGGCTGTACGATATCAGTATTTATATAATCGTTAAGTTAAAAACAGATAATTATGTTATGTCTGGAATACCGGAAATGTAGTTCTTATAGTTGCTATATGGTTAAAATATGTTACACCTCACATTTGTCTTGTTAGGAGCCTGTGCTACAAGGATACCTTGCTATCTGGATACACCAAGTGTAAATTTGCGCAATCTATTGACGTGGTTACCCTTCTTCGCGGGTGCAGTGTCACTGAGACTCAGTTGGACATTCGAGTATATTATTGTATAACTCTAAGATGTAAAGACATGAAATTAATCCAAATACAAGGTTTAAGAATGCTTAGATTTATATGTAGTTTCACTTTCTAACGGTATTATTTGACTTACTTTGCCTATTTCCTTTAGATTGTAACGTAATTAATAGCAACTTTAGGTTAAGCCGGGCGGTATTTACACTTTTAGCTGTCCCGGTAAGGAAAGTATACAAGATACCATGTGGATCTTACGACTAGAAAAAAGCGTTATGTGACTTTTATTTTTTATAAGTATCAGAAAGTGGTGTAGTGATATAGTTTTAGTTATTGTCTAGGTATAATACAGAAGTAACATGTTATTGTTTTCTGTTTTGCAATAGTAAAGTTAATTTGCTCTCACATTATTTGTCTTTGTAAACGTATCCGTCAAACCAGGGTGATGTAGCCGAAATATATGTTTTAGCTATGTCATGATCAGTTAAAATATGATCTAGTGGTTACTTAACCTTTCTCGCAGAATTCGAGAGGCTTATACGCTTGGTTTTGCGAAACAATATTGAAATGGCTGGCACAGACAAAATGGAAAATATGCTTCTAACAGTGAAAGTATTGACGCTATGATGTACTGAGGTAACAGCCTACATACATCTCTTCAGCTGCGATATTATTTTCACAAAATCGATGGAGGGTGTTCAGCTTGATGATTAAAAGTTTGCAAACTGATAACAAAATCGACTTCGTCACAAGGCATGATTCCATTTGCAGTTGTTAAGTGAACAATTAATTATTTATCGAAAACTGCATTTGCGCGGTTTAACAACACTATGGGTGCAGCTTTCCCCTTTAATAAAGGCAAATGAAATTGGACATATTGATTTTCATGACTAAATAATAGATGACATTGATCGCTCTTGTTCAGGGAATTCATACGTTATATCGAGCTTTATCAGTCTGGATGTTATCTAGATTATTTATAAGGCTGTTATACTTGACCCCTGTCGGTTTCTGGATTTCTTCCTTACCACGCTTTCCGTGTGAATAATTTACTCAGACGTTCTTTACAGGTAATAATCTTGTGCCGCACACGACCATATTATGTATTCACGGAAGATACCTGTAGTGTATTGTTACAATAAGAATGATTCTATTTTAGATTAGTTTTGATCATATTTGCAATAAGCATACTGTATTAATTTGACATATGTGATATTATTCTTAATTGGGGTCAGACTGACCTATGAATGTTGTTCATGTGTATAATTATCAGCCTAGTATGATTACCTTGGTTTTTGTTTTCTTTTTTAAACATATTTTATTGACACAAAAAGGTCAAATGGATTTGACGAATGTTGTCCAACTTTCAATATACAAATCGACACAGCAGAGTACTATTGTTAATATTGAACATACAAGGAAAATATAAGGTGCAAATACATATACAGCGCAGTCCCTCCGTGGAAATAGTAACACAAACAATATTCATTAATCATAGACTATTGTTGTCAGCAATACTGTATCATAGTCATCTGCAGAGGTTATAAATGGGAAAACAACATATGTGAAATACGAAATTTCAATGATTATATATTGCAGTGAACCCAAATATTTAATGTGTTTTCTTTTAAACGATACGGGAGTATATTTGCTCTTTTATCACCAGCTACGAATAAACGAGGCGATTAAAGTATATCTAGTTGAAGTGCCTACATTCAAAACATGAACGTTTTGAAGAAGGCCTGCACTCGCGAGAAAGGTTATGATTGTCAATGAAATTGACTGGGTTTATAATAACACAAACTGCTTGAGCGCATTCATTTATGCGGGCAGTTGCTCCCGATGCTTGGGCATGTAATTTGTGCTGGTTAAGGTTGATGCTCAACCACAGGTTTCATTGTTATAGTTATAGTGGTAGTTAGTATTAACATGAGAACCCCCTGACGCCTAAGAAACTAGTCTTGTATGCATATGCTATGGTATAATGTAATTCTAATAAATAGTTTGTCAGTTATCATGTGTTTGTTAAATTTATTATAAATTTGATTTCTTTCAGCCGCTTAATTTTCAAAAATATACATGTAACTGACATTGTTGATTTTCTCAGTTCATCTTCACTTGCTTAACCTTGCCCATTCAATTATGAAGTACCCGGAGCATGTGCTTATTATATGTTGTTGACAAGACCAGTGGCACTATAATGTACTTAATGCCAAAATCGTAATGAACACCGTTGGGGGGAAAGCGATTGACAGTTGTGAAATTGTCCATACGTTTAAATTTGAACCATTGACGTATTCACCAAGTCTTACTGAGCCAGTTTATCAGCCCGATAATGATTGTTTGTAAAGTGAACATTGTGTCCGTTGCGTTGTGGTGCTAGGATACCTGGTGTCGATTTGATATTTCCTCCTGTTGTTGACTGAGAAAACATTGCATATCAACGTTGATAAACAACATTAATTCATCTCTATCAATGCAATACAGGCTGTCTAAGTGCACGTGGTATGGCAGATAAAGCTTAGAGAACTACCCACAGAATGGCAGGTCGGTGGTTCAATCACATGTGTTCGTCATACCAAAGGACGTTAAAAAATAGTACTTGATGTTACCCTGCCAGACACTCGGCATTAAGAGGATAAAACAAGTACTAGTCCGTATAATGCATCTGAATGTGGTATCCATGTTCAACGGGGGCGGTCGGGTAGCCTAGTGGTTAAAGCAGTGTCGAACATAAAACATTATTCATTCAGTAGATAGTGTCACACAGCGTGTTTGCTGAGTAGAATTAAGGACGTTTATTCACAAGAACGTAACCGAACACTGTATCGTTTATAATAGGTATACATAAACTGGTAAAGCTGGAATATTACTGAGTGCGGCGTAAAACAACAAACCAACTACCCAACGTAAACTGGCAACAGAAAAACATTCATGAAATATACAATATTATATGATATCGGTCTACGTTTTGCATCTTGTTTACAAACAAACAATTGCTTAATTTGATTATTACTGGAAACACCCGAACTACTGTTTTTTCGCGCTTGGACAGATGTTTTTCTTATGGTTTTTTTGTAGAAAGAAGATAAATATAATCAGGCACAGGGTAGCTTGACAGATAGCGTTCTGGTATAAACATGTTTCTTAGATCACATTAACAAGGAGATACAAAAGTAAGATGAATTTTATTTTCTAAGGCAGAAAGACATAATGGGCATAACCTCTTGGATTTTTCAGTGGACAGATTTTGAAACACACACGTTTTTGAAAGTTTAAAATGACAGAAGGCGTTTGAGTGGCAGCAGCACAAGGTATCAAGCTCTATAATAGACAGACAGACAGATTGTTTATTTGAGTCTCACCTCACAAAAATATTTGAACAAACACATATAACAGTACATACAAGTGAGCCACCCGTTAAGGTTTACGAGAGACTTAAAATATATCACTGTTTATATAGCATAAATATATTAGTGTAAAAGAAGCCTGATACCTGATCTAACTTTGGAGAAGGCAGAGCGTCAAGCGCGAGTCATATGCAAACTTTCATAACTTTCACACCTATAGACATCTTTAAATATTCTATACATGTACGTACGTAATTTATTACCATACAAACACATACATAACATGTCAGCGCACTCACTAATATCCCGACATGAGTCACTGTCAAATGTCTTGTAGCAGGCCTATGTCCGTTCTTGAATCCCGAAACGTGTTGGAAACTGGTTGGGATACTGTTTTTTCAGATAGGTATCCCATCCGCACTTGCCAATTAGGTAAGACGCAAGTCAGGCCGTGAAAGGCCTTGAATTACCATTGTGCCGCTCGAACGATGAAATCTGTCATATTCAAGTTTATACAAATCCGTTTACCTCAGGTGACATGTGGCCACGGCCGCATGTGACATTTTACTTAAGTTTCAATCAGTTGTCGCCACTGACAATCACTACACATGAACTTACAACAATCGATAATGCCATATTACATTTGGTTTTGTTTGTTTAACACCGAACTCTGCAATATTTCATCTATGCGATGGCTATTTGTAAATAATCCAGTCTGGACCAGGTAATCCATTGATTAACATCATCCTGAGCATCAATCTACGCATTTGGGATACGACGACATGCATCAATCAAGTGGGCGAGACTGACCACCCGATCCCGTTGGTCTCCTCTACCGACAGCCATGGGTTGGTGAAGACCAATTCTAACACAGACCTTCACATGCACAGGAAGCCACATATCAAGGGTGTTGATTAAAATAAATAAATGTTCACACTAAACCTCACGAACACAAACTGTCATTTGCTTCTAATAGCTCTCAATAATTGAATTTGTATCTTCTGACTTTAGCAAATGATTGGATGTACTGTGTTATTGATAGTATTTTAACACATTTAAAGCGCTATCTATCAAACATTTTGACACAGTGCGGAGGATATGACAGTATCAGATCATACATGTACTGTATGGTTGTCGCATTAACAGTAAGCCATTGTTGCCATTTAAATTAAAGTGTTCGGTACATTCTTGTCATCTTTTATTCATGTCATCAAAACCGAAATAACACAACTGTTTCCAAAACACCACTGAGGCTACTGCATAAAGAGAGTGTTTCCAGAATGCCTTTTATCTCATGATCATTTACCATATTTACCTATTTAAAATGTCATGTGAACATTTGACTTGTCTTTGCATGTGTTTGTGACGGGTTCCACCAGTGGTACAGAATACGCTATTCATTTCGCGGACATCCTGCATTGTCATTATTTCGTAGTGACTCATTGAAACATGCTTTTGATATAGTCGAAATCGCACTACGACTTTTAGCAGAGAGTTCTTATGATTATGGAAAGGGTTATCTGCATTAGAAATAAAGCAATAATGTAAAGCTAAGGATATAGGATGCGGAATTGGCGGAATGTAAGAGGCACGACGGCGGAATTAACACTGTACATCAGTACATATGATCAGTGACGTACAAAATATGAACAAGGGACAGTAACTCATAAATATTGTTAGTACACCGACGATAACTACATGGACGGCTTTTATGTTTTTGATTCTTTGGTTTGTTTATCAGTTGTTTATATGCAAAATGTGAAAAGTATACATTCGTACTTATTGTTGATGATATCCTTACAAAAACATCCCCTGTAAACGAGCATTTATTTGCATTGATTAGAAATGTGTTTCATCAAGGTTTTCATAATTTTGATGTTAAAATGAAGGGACTTTGTTTTGGAGTATATACTATTTAAAGTAAGCATATTTAGTAACATCTATTCCAGCGAAAGACAATCAGATGCACCCTAATGATGACAAGGAATTTTTAAAGATTACGGAGTGGTGGCAGGCTTCTTCCATCTTGAAGTGGTAGGTAAAGGGCGAAATATTTCGTTGCACCTGAACCTATAGTCGTATAGTCCTCTGTGGAAGGACTGCAAATTCGTGAACTTCTGAATTGAGAATGTTAACAGGTAATTGGTGCTTCTAATTCATTTGATGAACACCAATGTCGGTTGATATATCATGTTAAATTCCATCCTTACTAAGCCACGACGAAGTTAAAAGATAGCATCCCTTTAGAGTGTTTAGAGGCCGAAAATGAAAACAAACGAAAACAAATAAATATTTCGTTTGCCAATGAAATATCTCGGAATCAATTGCGATTTATTTATATATTTTCAAGATATATTTCACTTTCGTGCCTTGCTGTGCATACTGTATATTCGTTCTCCGTGCCATGTTGTTGTATTATGATCAATGTGACGTTAAGTATTAACTCGCCCACTTATGATTACTTGCTCCACTAATACGAGTCGTTGGACCTATTCGTTAAGTGCGGAATCGTCAGTTGAAGGAGAAACATTGTGGAGGCTTTACTATGTTACTGATGTGCATGGAGGCATTACTATGTTACTGATGTGCGTTGAGGCATTATTATGTTACTGATGTGCATGGAGGCATTACTATGTAACTGATGTTCGTGGAGACATTACTATGTAATTGATGCGTGTGGAGGCATTATTATGTTACTGATGTGCATGGAGACATTACTATCTAACCGATGTGGGTGGAGGCATTACTATGTAACTGGTTTGCGTGGAGGCATTACTTTGTTACTGATGTGCATGGAGGCATAACTATGTAACTGATGTTCGTGGAGGCATTACTATGTTACTGATGTGCATGGAGGCATTACTATGTCACTGATGTGTGTGGAGACATTATAATGTAATTGATGCGTGTGGAGGCATTACTATGTTGCTGATGTGCATGGAGGCATTACTATGTTACTGATGTTCGTGGAGGCATTGCTATGTTACTGATGTGCGTGGAGGCATTATAATGTCACTGAAGTGCGTGGAGACATTACTATGTAATTGATGCGTGTGGAGGCATATCTATGTTACTGAGGTGCTTGGAGGCATTACTATGTAACTGATCTGCGTGCAGGCATTACTATGTTACTGATGTGCGTGGAGGCATTACTATGTTACTGATGTGCGTGGAGGCATTCCTATGTTACTGATGTGCGTGGAGGCATTACTATGTTACTGAAATGTGTGGGAACAATAATTAGCATATTTTCTGCTTTACACAGGGACTGGGAGAAACCCCCGGAGTACACGTGCAGTAAGATTGAGAAGAGGGGCAACTGGTACATATGTAACGACACAACTTTTGAGGTCAAGCCGCCATGTCTTGTCTATTCCTTTGGGTCAGTAGAAGGAAGAGATACATTTTAATCTTTTACGAAACAAGATAAAGAAACAACATAAACCATAAGTGTAATGGGGGCCGTCGGGTAGCCCATTTGTTAAAGCGATCGCTCGTCACGCCGAAGACCCGGGTTCGATTCCCAACATGGGTACAATATGTGAAGCCCCTTTCTGGTGTCCCCCGCCCTGATATTGCTGGACTATTGATAAAAGCGGCGTTAAATCAAACTCACTTACTCACTCAAGTACAATGTATTTGGCGAGTGCTACTTGTTCGCCGAATCACGCTTTGGTTAGGCTATTGTATTTGTTTTGCATCTGTATCCTCGGTCCATATATCCTTGATTAATATGCAAATATGTGCCTTAACATTTCCATGCACGGTGGTTCGATCACCGGCTGTGTCATACCTAAAGACATAGGATGGTATTAGGTGTTACCTGCCTGGTGCTCGACATTAAGGGGATGATCAATGACTGCTCGGCTCGGAGAGGTATGCTGTTGTCTGGGTGGTGTATCAATGTTAAACTGCGTCATGTTATCTCGGTGGGCGAACACTATAAAACCGACATTAGTCCACACACACCACACCAAACTACAGTATCATTGCTACGCCATCAAATAAGCTTATGTATTAACATGGTAATTGATGTGTATTATAAATCATTATAGGATTTGGACTGACTGGTCGTTTGATGATGCAATGGGAGCTATTGGCTGTGAAGTTCATTCTTTTGACCCAAGGTAAGAATAATTGAATAATACGCAGGGAAACCCTTTTACATCGAATAAGCGGTTGTATGTTGCATTATCTGCAGAATGAGTGATTTGGATGCAAATATATATCAACATCGTTTTCCAACGACTTGAATTTCATTTCGAAATGATTGAAATTTGGTCAACGATCGCGAGACTTACTGCATGCACTTCACATTCTAGAATAAGTACAAATGTTAAAATCCATATTAGTTTGACTTATTGAACGTGGAAGGGAAGGTTAGGGAAGTCTAATCAAAAACTTGTTGAAGAAGTTGAAGACATAGTAAAACATTATCCTTGAACGTGGTCTCGGTTCCTCTGTTTCAACATTATGAACCTACAATAAACCTTATGACCTATATTAACCTTTAAAAGGTTTATGTGTGGTCTAGGCTGATTCTTATACCTAATACATTGTCGGGGATTTAGGTTGGGACCGCACACCTTAAAACAACCAAGAAAAACATCTATTAGTGGACAGTCCTTATTCAGTGTATCTAATCAGTCTTTAAATACCATAATAAAACATAAGAAAATTAATATATTCAGAGAATTATGAATACACATTTACAGCAAAAATCTTACTGGCAATGTATCATACAAATTGAACGAAAATTTCATTTTTAAACAATGAAGCGAAGACACTTTACATTTGGTTAAAAATAAAACACAAGTCAATTGAGGACAATGTATTGTAAATATATAAGATAACTCTTCAGTAAGACACCTACTACATGTGTTACCAATTACTAAAATAATCTTACATGATCTTTGATATTTATGTAGACTTTATTTTAATTCAACCTGGCAGATGACAACTTTTAATATATAATGTGAATCTGCTGGTTGCATAACATGGCCACATCTTTTATATCTAACCTATCGTTAATTACCAAAAGTCATATGCCGAGCGGCATGTCGTGGAATGGGTACAATGTATACATAAATAGAACTAAACAATACTGAGAATTTAGCAATAAACCAGCAACTGAATAAACAACAAGTGTTACGTGCGCTCACGGGTTTTGCGGGAATAGTATAATTACCTCGCTCAATAAGTACATTGTTTAAACATTAATTTCCATCAAGGAAAGTTTGAGTCATATGAAGTGAACACACATTAATTAGTTTAAGATACATTCATTTACATACACTTTGATTGAAAAAATGAAAGAACATATAAAATTGACAACAGGTGCACAAGAATTACTTTGCTTCCACGAGCCCGATTATTTGTAACTTTAATTTTGCTGAACTTATAAATGTCTAAACGCTATTTTATTATATTTAGTTCTCTTTTAACACACACTATCTTGTTAGATTATTTGAGTGCTACATGGTCTAACCTAACTATAATAATAAATTCACTGGTGTACTACGAGGACTGGCTGAAAAGTTCTAAGCCTAAGTGGGATATCTCAATCGGATTGAAACAAACTTTTGCCACCAACGAGTACAATCATTTAATGAATCATAGACATGAGAACTGCAACTGTAGTGTTATTATTGTCTTTGTACCAGACCATCTTGTGAACCAACCCATTGAAATCACCAGAAATAGACAAAACTGGCTATATGGCAGTCATCAAGTACCTGCAACTGAAAGATACTGAACTCCAACACAGATACATGCTGACATGGTCTCCACTTTAGGGGATGATGCCCCTTCCTTTTCAACTGTAAAGAAGTGGGCTGCGGAAGTCAAGCGTGGCAGAGAGAGCCTTGACGATGACCCGCGTCCAGGAAGGCCTTCAACAGCAACCATTCCGGAAAACATTATCCGGGTGCATGACATGGTGATGGCTGATCGACGATTGACCACTCGACTTATTGCCAGCGTTGTGGGTATCTCTCGTGAGAGGGTTGAGCACATTATCACCAACGAGTTGGGAATGACAAAAGTTTCTGCAAGATGGGTGCCAAAGGTCTTGACAGCGGATCAGAAACGTGTCAGATTCCTGACGTCCAGTGACAATTTATGCCGTTTTGAAGCAGATCCCGATGATTTTTTGGCCCGATTTGTAGCCATGGATGAGACCTGGATTCATCACTTTCAACCAGAAACCAAAATTCAGTCTAAACAATGGAAGCATCCGGAATCACCCCCCCCCCCCCCCCCCCCCCCCCCAAAAGCCAAGTCGGTTCCTTTGGCTGGAAAGGTGATGGCTTCAGTCTTTTGGGATTTCAAGGGTATTCTGCTGATTGACTATCTTGAAAGGCCAGACTATCAATCGAAGATATTATGCTGGCCTGCTGAGACAGTTGCGTGAAGCTATCAAAGCTAAGCGACGGTGAATGCTCATTAAAGGAGTCCTGTTCCACCAAGACAATGCTCCTGTTCACAAATCGGTGGTTGCCATGTCAGCGATACTTGATTGTGGCTTCGAACTCATTCACTACCCCCCTTATTCACCCGATTTGCCCCCGCCAGACTTCCACCTGTTTCTCAAAATGAAAAAGGAACTAGCCGGTCGCCATTTTCCTGGCAATGATGACGTCATTTCCGCTGTGAATGACTTTTTAAGGGTGGCTGAAGAAGATTTCTACTTGACCGGCATCCAGGCCTTGCAGCATCGCTGGCAAAAGTGTGTAAACCTGGAAGGAGACTATGTGGAGAAATAAATGAAAACCATCGACTTGGTACGGGTCTTTCACAGTTAGGCTTAGAACTTTTCAGCCAGCCCTCGGAAATCAATAAATCCTAATTCAAAATTGGGAATATATTCACAGCAACTAACAACACCTAAGAACAACCAAGAGAAGCATCTTCTAACGTCTTTACTGTCGGTGTATCTCATGATATGATCGCATGTTCAATTATCACATATTTAAACAATGTTGCTAATTTAACGTGCTGACTATCTGACTTCTCTCTCCGGACATGTTGTCTTAACGATTAGCACATAAGGCTTATCAAGTATTTGTTTAGTATTGGAAAGAAGTCCTTCAACAGAAGCAACAACGTCCACTTCCATGACCTGGGCCTCTCGGGGAATGACAGGGACACGTATGTTCCTACTAAGGACATATACGTCAAAGAGACAACCACATGGAAGATCAGACGCCTCAAGACTATCATGGAGATGCTTGGACATACAAATGTACGTACACGTAAAAACTCCAATTGTCATTTTTAAAATAATAGACTTTAATGGTCTAGGGAAGATAACTGTAATTTAGGAAGAGGAAATGCATGTAGGTGCCAGGAATATATGCAGATTGAGGCTGATAAATGTGAGTAATGGAAATGGTTTGCTCACATTTCAGAGTATTTTTAGGTAGACTGTTAGGAAGATGGAGAATGTTTGTTGATTTGATATCTAAAACAAGACAGGGTATGTACAGGGTATTATTGGCAGATACCCATCTGTAGAATATTGACGTGAATACATACACCAACATATGTTGTTATTAAAATTTCATTTTTAATAGTATTACTTTCGTGAGCAAAAGTGTATCTAATTTACAAACAAACCCTTTAAATGTCAGCAGTCTGTTACCAAATCTTATTTTTTACATTTTAAATTGAAATTTTATTTCAGGGAATACATGTACATGTACAAAATAGATATATAACACTATCACCGTTTCAGGGAATACATGTACATGTACAATATATATATAAAACACTATCACCGTTTCAGGGAATACATGTAGATGTACAATATATATATAAAACATCATCACCGTTTCAGGGAATACATGTACATGTACAATATATATGAAATAGTATCACCGTTCCAGGGAATACATGTACATGTACAATATATATAAAACATTATCACCGTTTCAGGGAATACATGTACATGTACAATATACATAAAACATTATTACCGTTTCAGGGAATACATGTAGATGTACAATATACATAAAACATTATCACCGTTTCAGGGAATACATGTACATGTACAATATACATAAAACATTATCACCGTTTCAGGGAATACATGTAGATGTACAATATATATAAAACATTATCACCGTTTCAGGGAATACATGTACATGTACAATATACATAAAACATTATCACCGTTTCAGGGAATACATGTACATGTACAATATATATATAAAACATCATCACCGTTTCAGGGAATACATGTACATGTACAATATACATAAAACATTATCACCGTTTCAGGGAATACATGTACATGTACATGTACAATATATATAAAACATTATCACCGTTTCAGGGAATACATGTACATGTACAATATATATAAAACATTATCACCGTTTCAGGGAATACATGTAGATGTACAATATACATAAAACATTATCACCGTTTCAGGGAATACATGTACATGTACAATATATAAAAAACATTATCACCGTTTCAGGGAATACATGTACATGTACAATATACATAAAACAATATCACCGTTTCAGGGAATACATGTACATGTACTATATATAAAAAACATTATCACCGTTTCAGGGAATACATGTACATGTACAATATATAAAAAACATTATCACCGTTTCAGGGAATACATGTACATGTACAATATATAAAAAACATTATCACCGTTTCAGGGAATACATGTACATGTACAATATATATAAAACATTATCACCGTTTCAGGGAATACATGGATAATATATATAAAACATTATCACCGTTTCAGGGAATACATGGATAATATATATAAATCATTATCACCGTTTCAGGGAATATGTCTAATCCCTAAGAAGGGCGAGATAGGATAAGGGATTTCTTTGGCAATACTGGAAATGTCAAATTTTATATTAACGGATCCTTTTTAACAAAGACATGGACATGTAGACATCAAGACTGGAGCTGATCAAATATTACTCGGCATAAAGGAAAGTTGACGATTAAAAAGATGAAGTTATCTCTTATAATACAGTCTTGTGGAGAGGTTTGTGTCACTTTGAATGTTTACGCATAGGTGTTAATATGAAACGGATGTGGGTGTTTCACTTCTCTCTTTTATTGCTAGTTCAGGTGGGTAAATCAGTGGAAGGGAATTGGTGTTTTGGACAAATTTGCTTGTTTTCATTTGGCCAATTTGAGCAAACATTTCTATTCATATACATAAGAAACAGACCAGCAAGAAGGGAGCCTACTTCTTGCTTAAATGTCATATATCAGTTATACAATTCTAATGTCGTGCCGTCAGATATGGAGATGCAGGCATGATGTAAGACGTATAGGCTAAAACACGCTACCGAGGTTTTGGTAGAAAATGTAAAACCGCGAGCGGGGGAAAAGACCGAGGGCTTTTCCCGGGCTCAGGGTTTTACATTTTCTACCAAAACCAAGGAGGCGTGTCTTATCCAATTTATGAACCGTCTAAATGCAAGAAATACCAGAAACATAAGAAAACATTGACATACCTTATAGTGAAACAATACCGTGTGTCGCGGTATGAAAGGAATTCGCTCAAAGCGTGCGAGAGGGAAAAGACACGTGCAACATGGATTAGCTGGAGTCATGACATGCTAAACTGAACAACTTCTCATCACCTCCTGGTAGCTCAGTGGGAAAACAGTGGGTTACAAAAATTTAACACGATATGTAAGGTTGCAGGTTAGATTCACGTCAAGGGATTTTCATGTTAAACTGCGGCATGTATCTCAGTGGGCTAGCACTATATAACCGGCATTATAGCACACTCAAGCAAGAGTATAAGGGCGCAACACGTACATGTTCACACACATGCGTCGCTATATAAGTGCAATAACCTTGACCACGACGTTAATACACATTTCACGTCTACGTGACGGAAGGTGAGCTTCAACAATCAGTGATACAGAACACTGAATTAAAGTATGCCCCAAATATGATAACATTGTGATATGAACGTCTTCTGCTTATTTTTTTAGTAAACACCTGGTGTCATCACTGCTTGCAATGATGCATTAATAAATTTATATTTTTCACCACGATTTTGCCTTTCAGTGAAATCTGCTTCGGTAGATAATCGAGACTGATTAGTCTCTAACGTTGACCTTATATGTTATCCATTTCAGAGACACCTTGATGTTCTGAAAATTGACATTGAAACAAGTGAATGGCCGGCAGTGAAGGACATGGCGGCATCTGTAATGTTCTCCAAAGTCAAACAGTTTGCTGTTGAGTGGCATCTGTTTCCAACATATCCAAGCAGATCGGAATACGTTGGCATTTATACAGGTGTCATGGCCATGAAGAAGCAAGGATTACGAACATTTAGAGCCGATTTTCACAATAGAAATTATGCAGAAAAGACGTTCCGTTTCCAGGCAGATGTCAACTACGTTAATACATTATATAAAGGCATGTAACACTGTACTGTATTTGAATGTCACATCCCTTTCTCATATGCATATGTTTTAGCTACAGCTTACTGAATTCGCTATCAGGAGTATTAGTTCAAACGTTCCTGTTATAGAGTACATTTGATGAAATAATATCAAATAATACCCCCCCCAACACACACACACACACGTGCATGCACGTCGTTATATAAGTGCAATGATCTTGGACGCGACGTTAAAACCAATGTCGCCTCACCCCATAAACTGACTATATATTCAGAACTTAATAAATGACACAGCTATGTTGAATAGCAATCGCATTGAAATCTTTTTAGAGATATTTGTACTTTTGAGATACAATTTCATCAAAATGAAACGTGTACATTATTATCTGTTAAATCTGTAAGACCCTTATCACATACCTAGCTTTGCCTTGTTGACAAACTCCCTGATGTCCATTGGCCGGGAGTCGGAGGAGGCTTTGACTTGGGCTGGCACCATTCGGAAATCTATTTATGAGGCAACGTCAAATTGCTGGTAACGTGTCGCTAAGCTGAACACGATATTCGAGTTTTATTTCACCAAGCATACAGCAGCGGACATGTGCAGATACGAGTATGCCCATTTCTTCTTATCTATCATAATGTTAGGTCTTTGAAAGGCATCTAGAAGAGATTCACATAAGGAAGAGAATATATGGATGTCAACTTCTTTATTAGGAATAAAAGAAGTGCTAGTCGAAATGCATTGTGGGTCAATTACCCAAGGCACTGTGGGTAGTATTGTTTGATAGATTAATATGTTAGTGATAAAGCATAATGTTAATGGGCCATATTAATTGCGGTGCTTGCTTGACACGTGGTAGTTACGCTGAACCTGTGGACTGTGGTAAGATAGCCTCAGAGAGCATGGTAATGAAAATATACACACGGTGGAGACCTGTGCAAACACTAAGTTGAAAGCCAGCATGGTGCACGGAAAGTAACTGTGGCTTGAAGATTTATGGATGTTAAAAAACGGAGATAGCCTATACGTGCCGGAAGGAGGACTGATTGTCGCTGACCCTGGGGCTAAGTAACACGCCGGGTACTTAAAGATTTCTTTCTTCTTCTTTTTTTGGGGGGGTGGGGGGAGAATGTTTTGAGGCCCAGGAGAATGAATGTTAATACTGACTGAATGTCCCCCCTTCTCTCCATTTAATTGAGGTAGGACCTTTTCAGCTGGTATGAATAACTAAAACATGGTCAGTAACTGAATAAACGTCCTGTTGTGTATGTAGCTCTTGTCCGATGGCTAACTGCTGCCTACCACAACGTATTAAGACTTAGTCCCAGAGTACTTGCTTGATTCGTGGACAGGGATGTCGTTCCTTGTCTGCATGCGGTGCCAGCTTCCTGAATCTGTCGACCTGCAACCGAGAGAGAGTGTGTGCAATACACTTATTCGCTCCAGGTAGGTGTTGGGCAAGTATAACGAAGTTATGTGTAGCAGCACACCAGGTTAGTCTACGCGTGAGTTTCATAATCTTAGTACATTTGGAAAGTCCTTTCTGTATAATGTCAACTGTGGAAAGTTTGTCACAATGAAATAGATTGCGTTTGCACGTCCATTCAAGCTCCCATAAGATGGCTGCTACCACAATGGTGTACAATTCAAGGAATGACATAGACAGGCCTGTGGTGTGAGTTAAAGGGAGATCAGAGGGCCAAGTTTCAGCAAACCATCGTGTTCCGTAGATACACCCGAACCCTGCTGCTGATGAGTCAGTGTACAACTGTAGGTGGGCTTGACTGGTAGTATGACGATCAAGGAAGAAGGATACGCCATTCCAGTTAGAAGGAAATAGTTTCCACATTTCTAAGTCTTTCTTACATCCCTTGCTAACCTTTCTTCTTGCTTTATTTCCCTTCAGCAACCCCAAGGTAGCTCACTCTGAACACCCTGAATCACCCCTAAAAGTCGCGCCGGGCGGGGCCAGCGGGTAATACAAAAAATGGATTGCAGAATAATAAAACGAGACCCGCATAGCTAGGCAGATCTCAAATCTCAAATCTATGTGTCTATTTGTGTGTGACTTGTATATTCGCATCATAATACATGTATTTGCAACAGTAGGTACAATTAATCTAAATTTATTATTTTATGTACAGTGTACTCTTATTAATTGTTAAATGTACTTTGTAGGGAGATGTATTTAAATAGGTTTAACCTGTTCACCAATCACATTCCTCTTTTGGAAAATAAATATTGTTTAAATCATGTGTTAATAACTGTTAAAACTTCTAAAGTTACTAAAAATAATTTACATCTATAGAATCGTGTTATATCTACCTATATACGACTTTATAGTGTCTCGGATTGCGGTAGTTAAAGAAAACACGGTGCTAAAAGTGAAGCGCTTTCACCCTACATTCTCAACATAGTCTCTAACAGAAGTGTTTGTCTGGAGTTCGGACCGACTTGGTCTGGGCTATCAAAAGCAATTTTAAAGTGACAGATGTGTCATCAAATGTCTGTCCGTTCCTTTCCTTCTCCTGAGTTCATGAACTGCTAGTGACGCATTAATCATAGGGAGAAAAGGGAGACTGGCGCAATGGCAGTCCCAACAAGATTGATTCCAATCGTCAGTCTAACCAAATCGTATATTTCAAACTAAAAGTTAATTGTTACCTAAATAACATAGAGACAACGTTTCAGTTGCACACAAGACACTGATAGCAAATCTAGACCTGGACGTACAATAGGAACCACACCAATGGACATAGTTCTTTTTTAAAGAGTACCCGCTGAAATTATCGCCACGAACAATGATTGAATAATCGTATTACAATGCCATCAAATATGTATATTTTGTAACATAAATTTAAAATGTCAACGCTTATCCGGCAAAATAGATTCCATAAGGCAAATAGCGGTGAAAATTATATGAATGGATCACTGAAAATCAGTAAAGACACCAGCAAGTTCTGCTCTACCGTTAGCGACCACCACTAACACAGTTTGCATAAGAAGTAAGTATTTGTTCTCTGACGCAGCACAGCAGTACTCCTGTCGTGCGACGGCGGACTGTAAACAAAACAGACAATCAAGTGATAGATGGACCAGCAAATCATGTGACAAGATTAAGAATTTACTTATTTTCTTGATACTAAAAACAATATGTTAATGTTGAATTACGTCCACTGCGTTCATGGACAGTGATTCCGCTAATTATAGGAAAGAAAAGCATAAAAACTCAATCTGCGACGCACAGGAAGATTTTGTCTTAAACAAGGCAACAATGATTTCTTCTGCTAATTTCGGAAAACATAACGTGTCACTGCGTTATCACAGTGTCTGGTCTTTCTGAAGTGTCCTAAAGGCAACAGGTTCTTACGTGGCTTCGCGAGTGCCTCAATAATGTATGTTGCGTTCTGGTGATGTGTATTAAGACAATATGTAGTTTAACTGATATGAAGTGATGTGGTCAATTGACGTTGTGCCGTTTTCCGACGTGATCAAGACGTCGATGTACTTAAGTATTATACGAGGACAATGCTTAAACGTGTAATTTAAGAGCTTTTTATCTTAATGTGTGAAGCCGTAGACCGAGGCAAACACAAACCTTCCACAAACTCCAACGACCTGCAGTACTTTGCGTTTTCCTTTAACATTGAGCTGAGTCACCGTGATACAACTACTACACTATTAAACCCAACCCACTTATCCTCTTCAAAAGGCACACATATCCTTCACATAACTGATTGTGTTAGTTCTTTTGAATGCATTCTTTTCCATTACATTTCATTGAGGCTTGACGCAATAACAACACGTATTTACATTGTATTGTGTTCTGAATACCTTAGTGAATCAATAGCAACATTGGGGAAGTAATTAATTTTCGCTAACTCTAGTATTAAATTCTCATTTACACTAGCTTTTTACAAAAGTAAACAATTTAAACTGATGTTCACTCAATATATCGTTCGATCACCGCATAACATGAAGTGTATATTCCGGAATATTCAGTGAAATATCTTATAATATATATATCTTTATTGTATAATTGTAAAGCCGGATAGGTATTACTAGCAGTCGTTATATGGTTGAACTAAGTAACACCTCACACTCGCCTTGGTATAACTAATGGGATCGATACAGTTGCGTGTTATCTGTTAGGCGGATAATCACGTTGACGCTTTATATTTACTCGCCTGTGCTACCAGGAGAATCGTGTTATCTTGATGCACTTGCCTTTCACTTGTTAACACTTGGCCCAATTTTTAGACGTGTTTAACCTTTGTCAGTCTTTGGTATATTTTATTACTTTATAACTTTGCTTAAAATATAAGTTGTGTAAAGTTGCCAGCAGCATGATATACAACAGTAATAGTAACGTGCCTGGCCTCGTGAAAATGAAGCGGCAAAAAGAAAGGAATACAAATATTTCAAAGGTATGCCACAAAGGTTTAATTTTCTTAAACATGCACCAATTAATAAACAGTTTTCATTTTTAAAGAGATTATTTTTTCAAATTCTCATTGCTTATTTCCTTTTGATTATAGCGTAATTAAAAGGAGGTTTATGTTAAAGCCATGTGGTTTTGACACATTTTTTAGCTTTCCAGTGAAGAAAGTATATGTGGTTCTTATAATTATGGAAACGGCTTTGTCGCTTTTAATTGTTATGATTTATATGAGTACCAGCAATTGGTTTAATGGTTTAATTCGAGGCATTGTCAACGCATTATTTAGAATTAACCTGGTTTTTTTTGCAACAGTACATTTAAACATGTTATTTCTGAATAATGCTGTAGAAGTGAACTTACTCTCACATTAGTTTGAGTTGGTATATGTACATATATTCCGTCCGACCGGGGTCTTACGGTAAACGTGTATGTTTCAGCTATTTCATGGATCAGATAGAATCACGCGGATTAGTGAGGCAAAAACACAAGGTATGGAAAAGCTCTATTATAGTGGCTGACACAGACTAGATAATATTTTGCTAACAGACACTTACGCTTTGGTGTACAGAGGTAACAGCCTGTACCCTAATAGACTATACCTGCAGCAGCAGCGATACTATCTTCACAAAATCGATGGAATCAGAGGTTTTCAGCTGACTGACCAAACACAACGATAACAGAAATGACTTTGTAATCAGTTTGATATTCTATTTGCTGTCTCTGGTACCGTAAGTGAAAGGCTTTTACACATTTATCGAATTCTGTAAAACGATACCATGGTTACAACATGGTCGACTTCCACCACAATGATGAAGTTCAAACTATACCAGCTTTCTCGTGTAATTAGGGCGAATGTGTTAATGAATGATATTGATCTCTCTTGAGGGAGTTTAATCGTTATATTAGGCTTAATTTTGCGGTCGGGTAGCCTAATGGTTACAGCGTTCGCTCGTCACGCCGAAGACACGGGTTCGATTCCCGACATGGGTACAAGGTGTGAAGCCCATTTCTGGTGTCCCCCGCCGTGATATTGCTGGAATATTGCTAAAAGCGGCGTAAAACCAAACTCACTCACTATATCGGGCTTGAAAGTTCCTGTTGTAAATGTATTTGTAGTGCTGTCACTCTCGATTTCTATAAATGACCCCCCAAAATTGGCTTTTTTTAAAACAAATTCTGTTCACGTTTTCCGTGTGATTAGTTTACTCAGATGATCTTTACAGGTAATGTTCTTGTGCCGCACACGACCTTATTATGTATTCACGGAAGACACCTGTAGTGTACCGGTATTGTTCCTTGCAATATTGTAAATATTGAACATTGGAATAAATAAGGTGCAAATATACATACAGAGCAATACTTCCAAGGAGGGGACACGGGTGGCCCAGTCGTCTAAGGCGCCGCGATTTGCTGTGCAGAGTCGCGTCCCATGGGCTCGCCAGAAACCTATGATTGTGGGTTCGAATCCCGGCTCGCCCCGATTATGTTTCTAGGTTTGTCAGCACCATACCCGTGCTCGTGGGTTTCACCGCCGTGATATAACTGGAATACTGTTAAAAGCGGCGTTAAACCAAACTCGCTCACTCACAAGGAAATAGTAAATTATACACAATGCCATTTAGAAAGTGGTCAAATGTAACAAATCTTATATTTGGGATAACACTTTCTTAGTATAGTACAGATTCTCGTCCTTTTGGGGGGAAAAACAACGAATGTGAACGACGCCATGTCAATAGATAGTAGTGAGCCAAAATGGTCATTAAATAGTTTTGTTGACGAAATATATTATTGCACTTTTATAAATATATAGATTTTATGTGTTAATGGACATGAACTATTATTACTGCAAACAGATATCTGGACTGTAATTTGATCGAGCGATAAAATAATGATATTAATGGTTGGGACGTTCAAGACAAAAATGAAAGATATTTTCACATGGGTTTCCTCACATTCATGATTTCTGGATTAAATGCCAACATGTACGTGTAAAACATGATAGTGCTAGTCGTACATTATACCTGTCAGCCACTACATTATCAACAATATTCTTGTAACTGACATTATCTTTTGATTTTCTCAGTTCATTTGCACTTGCTTAGCACTGTGCATTCAGTTGTTTTGAAGTACGGGGAGTGTGTGCTTATTGTATGTAGTTGCGGTGTTGTGCCAGAATACTAGTATCTGGTGTCGATTTGATATGTCCTCCTTTCGTCCACAGTCACTGAACAGTATGTCAGAGATCAGTTACAGGGAACACATGTACAGGTAAACTCTGCATCTCAACAATAACCAAGCAGCATATTCATTTCACTGAGAAGTGATTGTATCAATCCAAAAACAGATACTCTCCGTGATGTGGTAGATAGAGCGTCTGCCTACAGAACAGAAAGTTGGTGGTTCAGTCCCCATTCGACATGTCCGGGCTAAAACAAGATCTAGTCGGTTCGGGGTCTGTGTAATGCGCCTGAGTGTGCTATCCACTGCGAGATGGAATTTCACTGTTCTAACAGTATGAGGGCGGTCGGGTAGCCTAGTGGTTAAAGCGTTCGCTCGTCGCGCCGAGGACCCGGGTTCGATTCCCGACATGGGTACAGTGTGTGAAGCCAATTTCGTGTGTCCCCCGCCGTGATATTGCTGGAATATTGCTAAAAGCGGCGTAAAACCATACTCACTCACACTCCAGCAGTATGAAACCGGCATAAGTCAGGACTTGTACAAGCAGGCAAACGCCCGTGGCTACATAAGTAAAATAATCTTGAACGCGACGTTGAACCACATTTCACTACAATGCAATACGCTGTTAAACCATGACATTTGTCTGTTAGGTGTAACATGGCTGGCGTCTAAAGAAATGCAACTGTTCCAAGCTATCTGCCTCTTTGTGCAGTACACTTCCGAGTTCAGCAGTATTTAAGCAAAATTGTCACAGTCCTTCCGCGGTAGGGTTCTTGAAATATCGTCGAACGAATGTGGAATTGCCGCGATGCAATTGTGGAATTGCCACACCGCGCTACCGAATGGAATAATAACATCGAATTGTAAACTATAGGTGCACATATCGAAGGTAGTGAAACAGTAGCAAAGACAACAATATGCGTTCACTGAGCGGAGTTGATTCTCTCATTAGAGTGTGGAGTTAATTGACGCAGGCGGCCGGTCCGTATTCCGTATATCTTATCAGGGAATACACAAGCTGATGTGAATGGTATATACCAGAAATTCTGTTCTCATGTTATAACGGAGATGAACTCGAAGCTACAGTGCAAAAAAGGTTAAAGTTTATCAGGGTTATAACAAGAAGTGTAAGCAGAGAAAGGCATGGTGAAATGACAATCTTACCGACATGTGGTGTGACTTGTGTAAAGCGGAGAAAGTATGGACGAAAAGTAAAGGGTTACAAAAGAAAATTCTCAAAGCTGACTTTGTTAATAAACATAAGTAATTCTGTGTACAGCGCTCAAAACGGGACTATGTGAAAACATTGCATGGGGATATTGCTGACATGGTAAGGGATGATACCACACAGTTCTGGAATACTATAGGAAAAGTGGGCGTGGGTAATGAACGCAGAAAGACAATCCCTATGGAAGTGATTAAGGATGACGGGACTGTATCCAACTCATTTGATGTTGTAATGGGCAAATGGAAAACTGATTTCTAGAAATCTTTTAAATGTTCACGCAGAATCTGATATTAATCTCCCCACAGATATGCAGCTTCCTAATGTTGATGATGCTTTGAATATTTCCATAACGGAGGACGAATTATTCCGTGCCTTCTCTTGTAGGAAAAATGGGAAAGTAACCGGAAGTGATGAAATACCAATTGAAGTATTACGTAATGGACTTTCGCAAGAATTTCTTCTGAGCCTTTTCAACAAATGTTTTAGCAGTGGCGTAATTCCTGATTCATGGCGACAAGGTATCATCAACCCAATCCCAAAAAACATCTACAGCAGATCCAATGTCATATAGAGGCATTACTCTTATAAAAGTTATGAATAAACTGTTTTGCAATATTCTTAACAATAGACTTACTAAATGGGTTGAACAAAATGGCATTTTAGTTGAAGGACAAAATGGATTCAGATAGGGAAGAAGTACAGTTGATCATTTAAACACTTTGACATCGATTGTGGAGCTGAGAAAGACGAAGAAATTGTCAACATATGCCAGAAAATACACTAAAAATACCACACCAATGGTACTTTCTCAAACAAAGTGGGTTATAATTGAAGCCAAAAAGTACACAATACAAGTCTGAAAAGATGGAATTTATTGTCTTTGGTGGCGTTGTGCAGAACGATTTTTGATGCATTTTTAGTTAAATGTGAATTTGCGCTAAATGCATGCAAAATGTGTATGAAGTTGTACTTCTTGAAATCTATCGTTATATTTTGATGAAGAACCACTCCCATTTACATCATGTGGTATTGTGAGTGGGTGAATTGGGATTAACGCCGCGTTGAATAGTATTCAGCTGTTTCAAAGCGTTTTAGCTTATGGGAGGATATCCGAGGTGATGCAGGTCTTATGCGTTTACCAATCACGAGACCGACGAGCAGGGATATGGTGCTGACAAACCTGGAAATATAATCAGGCGGAATCCGGTATTGGAACATACTACTATTGCCTTCAGACAATAGTGGGGCCTTGGATGTAGTTATTTCTTTTGTACTAAAAACATTTTGACACAGTTCAACAAAAGGATGTTAGCTAGCACATGCTCGGTTTCCTGAAAATAGTGTTAGAGGCCCCCCCTCAGAGACAAACATCATACATCAGCGAGTGATGACATGTTCAGTAATAAAAATTATGTTCTTTATAATCTGTAATTCCAAGTTTCGAGTACCACATTCTACATATTCATTGACATTATAAGAGAGAAAATGAAGGTAAAACGTATGAATGGTCAACACTAAAGGGAAGCTGCATTTTAATAAAGGCAGCGCTTTGTTCAGATGTCATGTAATCAATTTGTGACATAATGTACAATGCATGACGTCATATCGCCATGTGGCTTCAAATGACGACCAATCAGCATTGAGATTCGCTCAAAGGTACACAGGCAAATATCAAAAAGTTATTACTCACAACTATTCTACCCTTATGGATAATATGTATAATTGTGTTCTTCAGTTTGCCTTCTTAATAACACAGATCAAGTTAATCGATCTCATTGTTTGTTGATGAATCTTAATCAACGGAGCTCAATTTTCAGCTTGATCGGCGTCTTTGGTTGTAAAATGCCTGTGACCTTAAATTCTGTCAGCTCGTCCTGCAAATAAATATTTCAGATGGTTACATTTGCCGAAAATATAAGGTAATGTAATGTTTATCAGTTGAAATTAATAATATATTTATTATGACTTCTGTTTGTCGACCACCTCCTTGGTGTTGTGGATAGAGCATTTACCCGGAGTACGGAAGCCGGTGGCTCGCCACCTGACCGCGGCATAAAAAATAACGTTAAAACTCCGACTCCCAAAAAAATGAAATGCGAAAAAGTTCAAAAAGGTGATAAACCTCACAGATACAGTTCACGGAAACAGTGATGGGCAATAGTGTCTCTGGTGAAATTGCTCGGATGATTAGATTGATTGGTTAGTTCGTTCTTACCGGTGTGTCCTTCAGTCTGACAAGCCGAATGCTCCGGATCAAATGGACGAGAGCGATCTTCACTTCTACCAGGGCAAGCCTCATTCCGATACAATGACGTGGTCCGTGGCCAAATGGTTGGTAGAACATAGGGTTGATCTCAGCCTTTTTCTCCCATCTGAAAAATGTGCGTAATAGTGTAGCTTGAGGAACAATTTAACACGTACTGTATTGTTGATTTCAAATTCTTTTGCGGCGTAAGGGAATGATTCACACCACAATCATGGCGTCAATGACACTACAATTTCTGAGTGATTCATACGTCAATCATTGGTTCACTAATACTACAGTTACGGAGTGATCCACACGTCAATCATGGCTTCACTAATACTACAGTTACGGAGTGATCCACACGTCAATCATGGCTTCACTAATACTACAGTTACGGAGTGATCCACACGTCAATCATGGCTTCACTAATACTACAGGTACGGAGTGATCAACACATCAAACGGGCTTCTCTGATACCACAGTTACAGAGTGATCCACACGTCAACCATGGTTTCACTCATACTACAGTTACAGAGTGATCCACACGTCAACCATGGTTTCACTAATACTACAGTTACAGAGTGATCCACACGTCAACCATGGTTTCACTAATACTACAGTAACGGAGTGATCCACACGTCAACCATGGTTTCACTAATACTACAGTTACGGACTGATCCACACGTCACACTGCAAACACGAAAACGTTTTTTTTCGTACATGGTCATTGGACGGAAAAACGACGTTATTTGGACGCTTTCAAACCATCGTTTTTCCGTCCAAATAACGTCGTTATTTGACATCGGAATTTACTGGGAGAGAACGATATCATCAAGCTCCTCCCTTCTTGATTGGCATTGTCAATCAAGCAACAGCGTCTACCGGTATTCCTACTTCTCAGATTTCATTGGTCAGTTCTCGCGTGTTAGATTTCAGGCCCGAGTTTGACGCTGTACTCGAAGCGCTTAGCGGAAGTACTGAAATCAATCGTTCTGCGCATGCGGATTGCTTAATGCCTTGTCCAAATTTTCCGTTCTGTGCATGCGTGATTTCGCATATTGTTTCCACTATATGTCACCACTATTTGACAGTGATTCATAAACACAGTCTGGTGATGAGTTCGGAATCGTACAATGTCGCTTTAATTTATGGCACGTAGTTAATACGCGCGTATTTCCCATTAACAAATACAATGATAACGGTGATAATTTTAGTCAAAATAATTAGGAAAGCGCAAGGCTCAGGAACGTCTGAGTATAGGAAAAGGATTTATACTTTCGAAAGTTATATAATCGTCAAATACGCAAAAGAATATCAACCGGCTTTTAAAACTTATTTTTGTAGAAGGTGATCTTGGTGTTTATTGCCAGATAGTATATGCATATACATTTTCCAGATATTGCTTATTTTAATGTTTATTAATAGTTTTAAGGTTCGTCCGCCTAATTGACGGGATTCCACTTTCTCATATGTACATGACACTTAAACAGTGTTCTGTTACTGTAAACAGATTAGTTTCAAATTCCATACTGGTGATATCTATGCTTAGTCTCTAAAACTGTATAGTTTTGAAAGAAACAAGTAACTCCATTTAAATTGAAGAGGAGCCCCAGTTATATGTGAGATTCCGAGGTGAACCTACTCTATGGATATCTAAGCTGCCACCCAAACCGACCCAAACGGGACCCGAAAGCTTATTTTCTGCTATATAGTCACATGGAAGTGCACCAGAATTATACATTGTATTCCGGACGATTGTGTTCTTTTATCTACTTTTAAATGTTGCCTATACACTAATCTGGACGTACTAGTCATTGTTCTATTTATGTCATCCTATTATATATATATATTTATATCAGATATACATTAACGCATGTTACCATTCTAAAGTCATACTCTCATATAACCTTATATTGTTCATAGTATCAAAGTTTATTCAACAGCATCAAGAACAGCAATTTAAACTACTGAAACACCCAAACACAAGGCTGTTATCAAGCGCTGGTGCAGACGTGATGCATCGTAAAAAACTGTATCGTGATGTCTTCAGAAATACAATTTCTTGCAACATTTATACTACGAGATAGTAAGCCTAAAGCTTACTCACCAGTGGAACGTAGACAATATCGCTAATACAGATATCACGTATTTGAATGTTAATACTAAAGACAACACTCATTATTTTTGCAGTGACGATATAACACTTATACACGTTTATTAGTGACTTTCATCAGTTTTGCTATCAATTTTAATAATTTTGTTTTCACATATACAAGTAGCAATACCCGACTAGCCTGTCATACATACTTATGGGGCAGTTTTCAATCTTGTACTGACTTACTCTGGTGTTCCTGAGGGGAGTTTATTGGCTTGGGTGTTATACCCCGTTTTTCTGGTAATCCTATTATTACTTCATTTTTATCTAATGACACCCTGTTCTCTGGATCACGGCTCCGTGACTATCCATAACAATTAAGATGAACATTCAGATCAAGTACATGAATGAGTTTGTTTTGACGCCACAGTCAATCAAAGACCAATGCTGTGCGGTTTGATTACACACTTCTACCAGGTCGAACATCGTGGATCTTTTTTCTACCTAAAGAGAATCATAGTTCATATGCTAATCCATCTATTGCCTACGAAAACCGTCCCGCTCAAGATGACCTTACTTGTTGTTAAATCCATTCAAATGCGCTGAAATGTGCGTGTCAAGGACAGCTGATGTCCGATGCTGAAGAACCGTGTTCACAGCTGACCGACTTGGTATTTTTCTGCACTGACAGAAACTGGATGTACTGACACACAGCTGTTATAGATATTTAGCTAACCCCTAATCAAATAGATGCCCTTCGTTAATCTCTGTGTGGAGTACCGTATATACCTGTGATAACGATACCGGTGGCGATGCTGATGCTGATGGTGGTGGTGATGATAATGATGGTGACGGCGATGATGATGGTGATGATGATGATGATGATGGTGATGGTGATGATATGCTGATATCCTTGCATTTTACAGTGGTGATAAATATTATCTGTGATTGCAAACTTTAACATTTGAAAAATGAAAACACATTAGGTTGATCATATGTTCAAGGCCGCTGGCGTTGCTTAGTGGTAAAAGCGTTCGCTCCTCGTGCCGAAAGTCCAGGTTCGATTCTCTGCATATCATAGGCACAATGTGGGAATCCCCCGCCGTGATATTGCTGTAATATTGCTAAGGCGGCGTAAAATCCGACTCACTTAAACTCTCATAAATCACTGTGCCATTGCTAACCAAGGTTCTGCAGATGGCACCGGAGTATGTCAAGATTCAACTCTCGGTTGGTCTTCTTCCATTATATCTCACTAGGTGGCGCTACTGGCTTCGCTAGGTCGTTCATTCATCCACAGGGCTGTGTACATGAATGGCGGCACTTTCTTAAAGCGGTTGTCAAGTAGGAGTTTATGTCATCGGAAGTTCACCTCAACCGATTCCAGGAGTCCTGCTTTTATCTGATCCATTGACCTAAGTTTGTGGCTCTGTGACAACACGTACAAAAGAAAGTCTTTGTACAGGAGATGCAATGGGCAATTCATGGCATATCACAGGCTTTTACGGATTGTGAACCGGCCTCGCGATATCTAATCCGCTGTCCTCGCATAGATATTAACATATCTTCGAGATCTGTCTGAATGAATGGCGTGACAACATTCAAGAAGTACGTTAACGGTTATGTGAAATATTAGAATGATTCCACCACAGAAGCCAAATCTTAAAGTTGTTTGATTCTTCGGTAGCATTTTCAATAAATGTTCGAAAGGTTCCTGAATACATTAATCGAGATTACGCTATCATCACGGATGACGTATTCCTGCATAGATATATCTAGATCGGTGACCCGTACCCAGATCCGGACATACCAGTGAAACAGGCACTCACTCGCTCACTCGCTCGCTCACTCACTCACTCACTCACTCACTCACTCACTCACTCACTCACTCACTCACTCACTCTGTCAATCAAACAATCAATCAAAATGGAAATCGAGTGACGGATGCTTGACTCATTGTAAGTCTTTGTACGCCATTGTATCGTTGCTAGTGGTACCAGTTACCGGTTTGGGCTAGACGAAGCATTGACGAAGCAAAGAGTTTACTCAGACGTCTCCTTGGGGGAGACTGGTATCACACCTGTGATCCCTGGCGATAAGAAATATGACATTGCGTACCAGGCCAGCAGTTAGACGTATCAACGTATAATTGTAAAATTTAATTCTCCTCGGCGTAATATATATCTTGCAGGTGTACGTAAACAGGATGTGTTTGGTAACTTGAGCAGGAAGCACGAGTGCACGAAGGGATGGTATTTCAGATGACAAATGAAAGAAGACAGAAATTTTGTGACCCAAATTTAGTGACTGGTGGCCGTGTCGCACACACGACTTTTTATTAAATGTATCCTCGAGAGTCAGTAAAAAACTAGAAATAACTGCCTTTGTTCTGTAAATCTCACAAAGTTTCAGCTTTCGCCTCTTCCTTTGTGGAATGAGGTTTCACATTTGTAAAATGATCTCTGTTATCTGTCTGTACTATCAACTTAACTGCCCTCACCCCCTGCAGTTTTCCCGTCCCATTTTGCCAAGCAGGTGACCCACAAGGAGGAATACGGCCCTCCCTCAGTCCAGACTCATGAGTTATACTGTGCCTACCACAATAAGTTGTGAATACGTAGCCTTGCTGTGGCCAAACATTTTGTAACAATTTGGCAAACCTTGATATGTAAACAGCACATATAATTCAGTTTTATTTCATCTAAACATATCAGTTGAATCCCACTTGACCTCTGAAGATCCGGTTAAGAATAGATTTACAGCAACCCATGCTTGCCGTTATAGGCGACTATGCTTGTCGTAAGAGGCGACTAAAGGGATCGGGTGGTCAGGCTCGCTGACTTGGTTGATGCATGTCATCGTATCTCAATTGCGTGGATCGGTGGTCGTGATATCAATCACTGGATTGTCTGGTCCAGACTCGATTATTTACAGACAACCGTCATATAACTGGAATATTGCTACGTGCGGCGTTACACAAAGAACAACAAAAACGGGAAAAAACGGATCCTACTTATTTTGTGGATACCATAACAATAAATCAAACCAATAGATCGTTTGAGCTAGCTAAATATAAAAAAATAGTCGATAGTCATATTTCCCTCTGTTGGTCCCACGTGAAATATTCTTCATGAATACTGTAAATCATGAAATTAACGCAATAATAAGTCAGCACATTAATGCGAGTATCGAAGAACCCTGGCCTCAAATGCGTCATGACATTTATGAGAGTAGCCTTGCAAAAATCACTGTAGTCATAAAAACGATTTTTACATATATAAATACATACAGAGGAAATGCTTAGCATTTATCTTTTAAGGAAGAATGTGGGACTTGCTTAATACATATGTATGTGGACATATATGTATGTACATTTGGATGAATATAGATATACCTCCTTATAGATATAGATCGTAGATGATTGTAGAACGTGCACGAAGAAAATGGAATAATTATGTGAGTAATCGGGTAAATACCACGTTTAGCAATATTCAGCCATGTTGCGATATTGGTTTCCAACATACAAGACTTGAATTTGGACCTGGCTTTCTGGTGTGATGTAACACCCCATAATCTAATGTAGAAAAAGAGCTAAAAGCACGAATATTTGCGTAGTATTACTACGTTAATTCATCAGTATATATGTATTTTGCGCAAAGGATATTGTAGATCGACGCTTACATGCGCATATAACCTATTCACCAGTGCTGTAATATTTAATTCATTTGTCTTTTGATACATATAGACAGGAACATGGAGAGGCTGTCTGAAGAAATATAGACATGCATGGGATCTTTTGGATAGTTGTACTTCACGGTTAGTCAAACGCTTAGTCTCTGAAAATACATTATTTTGGTTAAAACGAGAAACTATATTTAAATTTAAAAGGAGCCCAAGAGAGATGGAAATTTCAGCCTAAACCCCTTGAACATCTAAGCTTGTTTCATTTGGGGCTATAGCATTGCAGTAAAACCTGGGCGGAAGGGAAAATAATTTGGTTCAGGGACTGTGAGACAAACTGCATCACGGTCTGTATCGCCGTCATGATCTTTAGAGCTACGAAATTAGAGCCATCTGAGACAGCCACTCGACACCTGTTTGCACCCATCACATACCAGTCACTACTGTCACTACTCCTCTCTCCAAACGAAAAAAAACACCGAAAAATGTCGGAAGTGTATATTTGTAATCCATCTAATTTACTATTTAGATACATGATTTAACTTAATAGTAATTATATAGATATCTGTGATGCTGGTACCGTTTTGTCGCCATTGTGTAGCTATTGTGGAGTTATTATGAAAATCAAATACATGTCTTGAAATATAGACTTGTAAAAGAGTTAATCAAAGAACCATATGCAGCCATTTAATTGGCGTGTATGGATATATTATCCATTTACTTATACACACTTATTATGGACATATACAGAATTTCATTGTACCTTATTATTGAAAAAATACCCGTGAAGATCCGGGTTAGAATAGGCCTTCAACAACCCATGCTTGTACTAAGGCGACTAACGTAATCGGGTGGTCAGGCTCGCTGACTTGGTTGATGCATGTCATCGTATCCCAATTGCGTAGATCGGTGCTCTTGATGTCAATAACTGGATTGTCTGGCCCAGACTGGATTATTTACAAACCGCCGTCATATAGCTGGTATATTGTTGAGTGCGGCGTTTAACAACAAACAAACAAACAAAAACTACTTTTAAGGAAGAGTGCAGGACGACTTGCTTTATACATATATATGTGGACATATATGTACTGACAAGAACGCCATTTCAAGAATACAGTCACGTGAAGAACGTCATGTGACCGACCTCTCGTCCTAGCCGTATTTCTTGTAAACTTCACATTAAAAAATTAGTTATTATTATAACCAAATGAAACACAACCCATTATTCGATAGGGGTAATTGTTCATAGCCGAGGGATATGTTACCACAATAAACTTGGTAACATTGTTTGGTTTGACTTCTTGGCGCGTACCTGAATTCCATTAACATGTTACATATCCTGGGTAGACTGCAGTATTTGGGTCCCCACTTCGGAACGAACGTTTTTACGTGTTTACGGAAGTTGTCGAATGAAAAACGTTCCACGCATGCGCACTTCGTTATTTACGGTCGAAGCGAGAGGAAAATAGGCCGCCATTTTTTGTATCCCACTGAACGCTGTGGAATGTTTTAGGTGAAAAAGGGGGTTAAAGGGGGGTGAAATTTTCATAATTTAAAGTAAAAACGGGCGTAAATCGGTTCGGATTTGCTCAAATAAATTGCACTAGGGTAAGTTCATTCATGAATGCATATTATGAATATTCATAGAATGTTCCATTACTCACTCAATCAAAGAGATCCGCTGACGCGTCGAAAGCATTGGATTCCTCTTCGTCAAAAAGTTCTGCCGAACCATCCAATTGATTAACATTTTCTTTTTCTCCGATATCGGATGCCCGCACTGGACTATAAACACGGCTGATGAACTTAAGAAACTGAATAAAAGGATCAACTGAACAACTTAAATATTTTTTTCTGATAATGTACTTATCAAAATAACTATCATACAGTCCTTTATTCGTTCCGTACCTAGGCAAAGATGCCTTCACCGCTCTCCAAGTTGACTCTATTTTATTTGTACATGCCCCTGTTTCTGAATTTACAAATTCTACACTGTGGTTAACTTTTTTATGTATGTACCCCATCCCCTCCAAAGATTCCAAACAGTCATAAGCTTTCCAACAGTCCGAATGAATGATTGATCCCGGTTTAATAAATCTTTTAATAATTGGGATCAATGTTTCGCAATTTCTTTTCTCAACAGCAGTGATGAACATCTTGCTAGAATTCTTTTCAATCCCACCAAACACCCAAACACCATCCACTCTCCTCCCCCTGTGAAACTTTCTTTTCCCAAATTTAGATTCATTAATCTCTACTTCTACCCCAGGTCCCCCAATAGCCTCATTCTCTCCTTCCAAAATTTCCAAACAAACCTCTCTGCAAAAATTATACCAATCAACCAAAGTGTGATCAGAACCAAGTTTCAACTGAACTTTAACAAAAATCTTCTCTAGACCTGTAAACCCAATAAAATGTAATTTTCAAAATGTCAGGAATGGACAAATTAGAATTATAAAACCAGGAAGAACGCTTCACAGAAATCTTGTGATGACACCTCTTATTACTACACCTCCACACATACCCCTCACTCCTACTGCTGTCCCTCCTCCTGCTTATCACACCATTCTCACACTTACAGCAAGGCCCTCCAAACTGTCCTATCACGCCTACATCCTCTAACCAGTCCAAAACTCTCCCCTTATCTCTGCATAATTCATACAAATCATCATACACAATCCTACTGTCAGACAATCGTGAAAAGTAATTGAGCAAAGTGACAAAAATAGAAGACTTACCAGCCGTGCAATGTACTACGAGCGTAGTGGCGTTCGTAGTAACGAGTCCATATAAGGCATGTCACATGATCAGACACGTGATGTCTTACGTCATTATGTCCCGCCCACAAACACACGAAGTCGACACCACGAGAATACGGCTTTACTTTCTATCGTAAAACTCTCGTCGCCCTTAGGGGCGGAGTCTTAGACCATACTTTTCACGTCCTGCTCATTTTTGGGGTCCTTTTTGCACAAAAATGCTTCCTAACGGATTTCGGCGCTAGCGCGTGCGCGCTTATATATAAGCGAAGCTGCCGAAGGCAGCGGTTTCCTTACGGAAACCCACGAAGTGGGGACCCAAATACTGCAGTTGACCCCATATCCTAAAACTGGCTTATCAGCAAATCTCGCTGCACTGCGCGCGACAGATACTAGAGCAAGGCATGCCAGAAATACGAAACCTAAAGCTTTCGAAAGGAAGCCTTGGGAATCACGTGCGTCGGGGGACCAGCGCCAGCTGATTGGCCATTAACAGGTGTACAAGGCGGAGCAAAAACATCGTTTTTCCGTCCATTTTTCGCTTGAAAAACTCGACCTTTTTCTGCACACTTTCTAGACGCTCACCAATTAATCAATTTTAATGAATTTTTAGTCGTTTTTCCGTCCAATGTCCATATACGGAAAAAAACGACGTTTTCGTGTTTGCAGTGTCAATCACGGCTTCGCTTACTTCAGGTTCTACCTTCCACTTGCAGATACATATTGAAAGAGCAAGCATTTTTTACCATAAACACATTTTCCCCATCCAGAAGTGACGTTAGCCGAGCCATGGATATGACACGGAAACGAGATTTCCATTAGGCATTTACAGTGAAATAAAGGAAAAGGTTTTCTGTCTAAACAAATACGGGATCAATATTTTTTATGAACGTGGTGTTTGTTGTATAACGCTGCACTCAGCAATATTCCAGCTATATAACGGCGGCCTGTTGATAACCTAGTCTGGACCAGAAAATCCAATGATTGGCACAATGAACACTTCATCCATTTAAAGCCTCCTACTACGGATACAGGTTGCTGGGGACCAATTCTTACCCGGAAGCCATAAAACATAATTTTGAACACATCAACTGCTGCTTAAACAACGCACTCACCTCTCAGGTTTGAATTTTCTCGGTTCTGGGAACACCTCTGGGTCTCTGTGCAGGAAAATGATGGGGACGTTGACATAAGCCCCTTCAGGAAATGTCCATCCTTTGATTGTTGTTGTCTTGGAAACGTAACGGTTAGTTCTGTAGTGAGGAATATGCTTTTTAAACAAGTCTTGAAAAATGGGATATATTTATATAGGATTCAGATCTGTGGCGGGACTCAAATCGGATGGCGGATTCTCAAATCCGTGGCAGATTATCATTTTTGTATGACGTCATGTTTGCAATGATGTCTTATCCGTGAACGGACAATTGTTCAATTGTTATATGACGTCATGTGTGAAATGACTTCTTTCCTGTGATGACGTCATGTAAGTTTAATGTCTAATATCGATAGACACAGCGATCAGCCGAGACGTAGATGTTATCACGCGAGCGTATGTGGGAATAGTAAATATGCTGTATTAGGAATAAACATTGTATTTAGCGAACTGTGTTAAATTAACCGGGATATATTAAAACAGTTTATTGTTAAAAAAGAATTTGAGGACAACGACGATGAATCACACGTGTCTAATGCAGAACAAATAGAACAAATGGGGTGAAAGTAATATTTCCCCCCAAGTGAAGCACATTTGATCAACGTTGAATCGGTATTCAAGATTACAACCATAATACCACTTTGCCAATGAAAAATGTTAGGGCGGCGGGGAAGCTCAGTCCATAACGTGATCCCTCTTCACGCAATTCAGTTCCAGGATCCGCATTGTTCGTACAATGCAACATACTGGCGTAAAATACATCATCATCATATCATCAATACAAACAATGCATGTTTTAAGCTGGCGTCAGTGTTCAACAGAAGCTTCACTGCTGTGTTTTTTTAATAAGGAAGATAGTAAAAATGAAGTTATGAATGGTACTGAATACGTGTATCTGTCCCTGCGGCTTCTATTCCGATGTAATATGGATAATTAGCTTGTGATATGTGTATACAATGTATAATTCAATAACAAAATACGCAATATGTGGGAATAATGCCATCTATGGATGCCTGTGTATTAATGTGTATTTTTGAGGAAATTCCAACATTTTGTGTGTTTACGAATGACGAATGATGTTACAGGCTGAGAATATGTTGTCTCCCCCAAAATTTCGAAGAGAAGTACACCGCAAGGCCTTGAATGAGTTTCTTCTTGAACTGTTTGCAGGGAACCTAGTCCAGGGGATGATATCTACCCACAAGACGGCGAAGCAGTTATTTCAGGCCCCATACGGCGGTGAATAATGGTACTGCAGTATTTATGAGTGGCTTTTGGAGGAAGGGTTATGTTCTGTCAACAAAGCAAACGAACGGCGAGAGACAAGGTGTACAAGGTGGAAGAAAGTGAAACTGGCTACACTTTTGATTTGCACAGGAAGCACTTACGGTAAAGGCGTATATAAAAAAACCAAAATGACAACTTGATGACATTTGTACATCAACTGTATGATACGTTTATGTCAAGACAAACATGGGTTGTTATAGACTTATTCTAACCCGGATCCTCACAGGGGACATGTATTGGATAAAGATCAATTCCAACCCAGATCTTCTCAGGGAGGAGACAAGAATGGGTTGCTGTAGAAAAATGCTAACCCGGATTTTTCACGGAGGTAGACAAGCAATGGTTGCTGAAGATCAATTCTAACCCGGATCTTCACGGGGGACAGGTATTGAATGGTAAATACTAATTCTAACACGGATCTTCACCGGGGAAGACACGCATTTGTTGTTGAAGACTAACTTTAACCCGGATCTTCACGGGGGAAGACAAGCATTTGTTGTTGAAGACTAATTCTAACCCTGATCTTCACGGGGAAGACAATTCAAGCATTTGTTGCTAAAGACTAACGGGGGAAGAAAAGCAATTGTCGAATGGTGAAAGTTGGCGAAGTTGTCCCAGGTTAATTCCTACTATGTCTTCTTAAGGATTTGAGAATAGAAAAGACATTATCCATTTTCTTACGCCATAACACCTGGATAGAGTCTCAGGGTTTCGCTGACCACGCGATCCATGTAGACCAACCCCTGGATATTGTCATAATCAGGGTCCTCCTAAGAAAAAAAGAAAGAGAACATAATGAATCACATTTAACGCCATTGTCTATGCCATGGACCTGATTTATTAACCGAGGAGCAAAGGAAACTATATCTTTCAGTTAGGTTAGCGATATTATATTCAAATCAATAACTGTACTGTCGCTTAGTCAGCCATCAAAGAATACTTCAACATGTGTTTATTTTTTTAATATAATTTGATCTAAACTTTTTTTTAAAACTATTACACAACTGCTGACAGGCATCTTAGAAATCTTTGAAAATCATTAAATTTGCTTTTTTTCGGCACAGATTTACATGTCAAACATGGTAGAGGTCATGTGGATGCAAATTCATTTCTAACCCAAGTCTTCATTGCACCAGTTTATTTTTATACAAAACGAAACTGTCGCAGATCACCTTTTACACATTGTAGCAGGGTGGTTAAATGGACATAATCAAATTTAACCCTCGTTCTTAATTTTTTTAATTACATTAAAAAAACAACTCGGTATACTTTCTTTGTCCCTGAGTTTATATAAAACTACCGCTCCGTGGTCTTGTGGATAGAGCATCTGTTGGGAGAGCGGAAGGTGGTTGGTTCTATCCCCGACAACGTATGTATGAATTGTGATAATATCGTGCCTTTAGGAAGAACTTACAACATTTATTCACGAGGGACAAATAATCCGTATCCCGAAAAGGTTACTCTATGTATTACTCATTGGCATATTGATAGAGAAAATGAAGAAGAAGCGTTTGAAATGTCAATCCCAGAGAAACCTCACTAATCACTGAAGGCAGCATATTGTTCATATGACGTAACGTAATCACGTTGTGACGTCATGAACAGTGGATGGCGTCATATCCTAATTGTGTCAACAATGAAACACTGTGACGTCATATAGCTTCAACTGACCATCAGTATTGAGAATTAAAAAAAATGCACGACCAATTACCAGAAGGTGTTACACATGGTCATTCAACCTTTACGGTTTATAAACATGAATTAAAATTATGCTGAAAGCGTACTTCTCCAAGGACTAAATATATTTCCTTTGCCAGCTTGTCCTGCACGCCAGACTGAGTTGCCAGAACATAGCCAATAAACTGCAGAGTACCAGCAGTTGTTTCGTATCCACCGAGGAAGAATACGAAAGCCTGTCCTATAACTTCATCCGTCGTCAAAGCTGGGGACAAACATATTTGACATATCCATACAAGCGTACTGGAACAGTGAGTGATTTACCTATGTACTGACATGCATACTGTGGAGTGTGGTCTGCGGCCGGTGGTCAATAAATACATTTCCCAATGACCAAACATATGTTTGTTGCGGGTGCCACCTGTGGCGCAAGATACGCCCACATTTTCGCGAACACCTTTTGTCATCATTATTTGACAGTGATTCATAAAAACGTGTTTATTGTGTAGCTGGAATCGTTCAATGGACTTCGATTTAAGTAGAGATTTTCATGATAAAGGAAAGAATTTGTTGCTTTCTTTTCATTCGAACATGAGATCACTCAATTAGGACTTGAAAAGTAATACACAGTGAAACATCTTAAACCCAGGCATTATCCATTACAGTTAAATCGTTCGGATTAACCAATCACGGATACTCAGTAATTTCCCATTAAACAAATAAGTGTTTCAAGGGCACATTTGTCTCAAAAAGGGAAAGACAAGAAGGACTTTTTATCATTTTTTTACGTGAAAACAAAAATTCATAAAGCAGGAAATATTTCTTATTTTTCTCCCACCGAAGAACCACCAAACACAAGTGAGCACACATGACAACTTGCTCACATGATTCTTGCTTCATATGACGCGGGAATGTTAAACATATTTTGTTGATTGCAATAAAAATGATTTAATGTGACGCGTGGATGCCCTAGAAACATTTCTATGTTTAACCTTACATACAGACGTAAGAAGCAATAGTCGTCCAGGTGGTGAGGGAAATGGACTTAATGAGGCTTCACTGGTTGGTTGGTAGTTTAGCGCCGCACTCAGCAATATTCCAGCTATATGACGGCGGTCTGTAAATAATCGAGTCTGGACCAGACAATCCAGTGATTGATATGATGAGCATCGATCCGCGCAATTGGAATCGATGACATGCATCAACCAAGTCAGCGAGCCTGACCACCCGATCCCGTTAGTCGCCTTTTACGACAAGCATAGTCGCCTTTTACGGCAAGGCTTCACTGTAGTGCGAACCAGCATATATCCACAAACAACATTCACTCCATGCTTTTTTATTCTTACTGCTGGATGATTTCTGCGCTGCTTCGTCTGAAATCTTGGATCCATCTTGATGATCACCCTCCTCGGCGTCTAACAGGAGCTGCAGGATGTCAACCCTCCTCTTAAAAACAAAGGTTGCAGGCTAAAATATTACATACTCATCAACCACAGTCATTAGGTTCTAATAGGTCATGGTTAGGATATACTAATTAGGTAATGTCTGGAACGTATTAATCAGGTCATAGCCAGGACATATAAATGAGATCAGCGTGACGACATATTACTTAGACCATGTCTTAATTAGGTCATGGCTTGGTCATATTAATTAGGTCATGGTTAGGATATATTAATTGGGTCATGATTTGGACATATTAATTCGGTTATGGACAGGACATGTAAATAGGTGATGGTTAGGACATCTTAATAAGTTCATGGCTACGACATATAAATTAGGTTTTTACCAGGGCGCATAAATTAGGTCATGGCTTGGACATATATATAAGGTCATGGCTAGGACATATTAATTAGATTATGTCTGGAACATATTTATTTGGTCATGGCTAGGACATATTTATTAGGTCATGGCTAGGACATATTAATTATGGCGCGGACGTATTGACTTTTTGGGTGGCACGGTCGTCGCGGGAGCCGAAATTCGTAATGGGGAGTTGCGTCCTTTACCAATAGAGTATTTGCCCGGATTGTGCTTATAGTGTGTCACCAAACCTGTTAGGTGTACCAAGGCACCATTCTGAGGAGCCGCTGACCGAGTGGACAGTAGCTGAAACTCTGGTAAATCTGGACAAGACCAGATTAATTACAGGTGGCTGTACCAAAATAACAACACAATTAACTCCGGGTACGATTCCCCACATTTCCAAAGCCCATTTCAGATGTCACCAGCAGTTGCTTGACAAGCGGCGTAAAGCCAAACTCACTCACTCAGTGCCTCCAAAGCCTTTCATCAGATGTTAAAAGCTCACCTCTCTGTCCTCCTTTGCTTCATTTTTCCTCTGTTTTATCATCTCCGTCACGGCTTGTGTAAAAAACCTCTTGGTGGACCTTGGGAAAGCTCCCAATCCCAGCCACTTCGCCAGAGCCCTGAGTTCAGGGAACAACACTGAAAGTAGGTCATATGTTAGTTTGTTAACAATGTAGTCAAACAAATCAAAGTTATCCATGAAAACTATATTTATATAAATTACCATATTTACTAGATGATGCTCTTGAGCGCATATTTCTTTCAGACACTTTCTTCCCGGAGTTTACTCGCAAAGATAATTAACGAGAGAATTCCGTGCATACAAACTACCCGGCGTGCTATGTTAGTTGCTTTCTTCTGCATATCAGATGTCTTCTCTTAGTTAAGTTTCGACAGGGAAGGTTAGTTTAATTATGAAGCAAAACATGTTGGTGTGGGGTTGTTTTCTGTTTGTTGTGAGGTATTTTTGTTTAGCTCTGCACTCATCAATATTCTAGTCTTGTCCAGACAATCCAGTGACTGACATCATAAGCATCGATCCGCGAAATTAGGATACGATTACATGCATCATCTAAGTGCGAGTCTGACCACCCGATCCCGTTAGTCGCCTCTTACGACAAGCATGGGCTGATGAAGACCAATTCTAATCCTGACGTTTACGGTGTATCGAAATGAATAAGTTAATACATGCATACGTACGGTGTATTAACGAAACTTACTTATCAGGAATACGAATGGGTTTCCAAAAAACGCATTATCAAACACTTTCTTGGTTTCTCTAACAAAGTTGTTGTCAAAGTCGTTTTGTGAATCGATTTCAATCCCGAATCCAGTGTTGCCAATGGCGTCCATGCTGAATGCTCCGAAGTATCTGAAATAATAGTTCACTATATTACAGAACATGGGAAAGTCTCACAAATAACATACAACTTGAAGTTGATAAAGCGTACATTGTTATCTGAATATCTAATTAAGCAGTTAATCCACAATTTGTTGTGTCATGGGGAATTATAGATAGGAGGGAGCCCTCGCAGCGATCATTACAGTGTTGTCTTGTTCATTCATAACTTACGTTTGTCACTATTCATCTCATGTTGAACGTCAAGCAGGCATACTTCAGGTAATCTCCGTATATTATGTGGTGTTGTCAAACCTAGAAATAAACTCGGGGCGAACAGGGATTCGAGCCCACAATGGTATGTTTCTGGCGTGCCCAAAGGAGGCAACAATATAATGGAAGTGAGATTTATATCGAACTCTGCTTACATTAATATTAACTTTCCAATAAAGCAAACACTGTTTGCAGCCCTCAATGTATGCTTTCAGCTACAGTGAGTGAGTGAGTGAGTGAGTTGGGTTTAACGCCGCTTTTAACAGTATTCCAGTCATATCGCGGCGTGTCAGCTTAATGTGGGAGGAAAGCCCGAAGTGGTGCAGGTTTTAGACGTTTACCACTTCGGTGAAACCCACGAGCACGGGTATGGTTCTGACAAACCTACAAACATAATTGGGGCGAACCGGGATTCGAACCCACAATCATAGGTTTCTCGCGTGCCCAAGGGACGCAACTCTGCACAGCGAATCGCGGCGCCTCAGACGACTGGGCCACCCGTGCCCCCCTTTCAGCTACAGCTACCACTTTGTTTATGGTTTGCTGCTTTCATACTTACAAATCTTATATGATTTATTAAGTTTTAAGACCCGCGAATATCATGAATTAGAACTGATCTTCAGGGAGCCATGCTTGTCTGCCCCGTGAAGACCTGGGTTAGAATTGATCTTCAGCAACCCATGCTTTTCGTAAGAGGCGACTAACTGGACCTGGCGGTCAGGCCCGCTTTCTTGGTTGATACATGTCATCATATCCCAATTGCCTAGACCGATGCTTATAGTGTCAATTACTGGGTCTTCTGGTCCAGACTCGAATATTTCAAGACAGCCATCACATACAGTGTAGCGAGGTTCGGCGTTGAAGAACAAACAACAAACAAACACAATATATACAACTTACTGTTTCAAATCAACTTCTTCTCCGCTTTCAGCAGCACGAATAAAGTTCCTTGTAAGCTTTTGGGCACAAAGATTTATTCCTCTGCACATCTGTAAAATACAGCACACATATATTCAGTAAAGGTCTCAATATTGATTTTGTCCATGTTCAGCTTGTCTATGGGTACAGTTCAAGACTCCTACTACCACCCCCTCCCACCCGTAGATAGACTGATACGTATGTAAGCATGCAATTCATCACTCACGCTTGCTAATTATAATCAACCCAAATATGTATTAATGATTTGGATAGTAACTTCTTTATTGACAATTTGTCCATCAATTTGCCTATCAATGATAGAAACAATCATTTATTTCATTGTTTTCATCTATTTCAGCTACAATAAAGAGAAGAAAATGCAAGAGATACCTTCCTGAGTTTGCCAGCGCTAAAGGTGGGACTGGCGATCTTCCGGATTCGATGCCAGGTGTCTGACTTCGCACTGAACATATTGGTGCTGAGCGGGTAATCGTCGAGATCTATGAAACCCTAAAAATGTGATCTTGTTTTTAAATTACGCCTTACTTAGTAGGTCTTCAGCAACCCATGTTTGACGTAAAGGGCTTCTATGCATGTTGTAAGAGGCGACTGAGAAGATCGGGTGGTCAGGCTTGCTGACTTGGTTGATGCATGTCATCGTATCCTAATTACGTGGATCCATGCTCATGACGTCAACCACTGGATTATGTGGTGGAGGCTTGATTATTTACAGACCGCCGAATATTTCTGAGTGTGTCGTTAAACAACAAACAGGAATTAGTAATATTCTAAATGACGACGTCCTGTGTATTCTCGAATATTGACAGGCAATCCCGTCTGATATTATGAGCAACGATTCACGGTCAGACGCAGCGACCACACTGAGAACCAGAACCGTTACCGAGATCGCAGCCCCAGGGGAGACCGTCACAGCAACGACAGGAACTCTAAATACACATTACGACATGATCATGCGGATGCACGTGGTAAAGAATAGGTATACCTCTAACCTGTGGATTTTAACCAGCTACTGTCATGCTGACCACTACAACAAAACATATTCAATGACGTAACGTGTTACACTTTATTCTAAACAAGCATACCATACGGTCCGTGAAAGTGTCAAAATCTTTTATCAAAACCTCCTTCAAAATGTCAGGGTCAAAGACATTTATCATAGGGAATCCGCCGAACCATTCTCTGAAAAATATGAACGAAAATATATAGTCATGACAGTCATCGGATATACCGATAGAGCAGCGCGACATCCATTTAAACTATTATTTTATTAATGTACTGACAACGGACCCTGAACAACTGTACATGGGGTTATATCTACGTTATGGTGAACAGGGCGTTGTATCTACCAGGACTGAGCGTAAATTCTGGGCTCAATTGAATATCAACATTTTATCCAAATGTAAGCCAAGGGATTAAACCCGAAAAGGGACAAAAGCATGATAGGAAGAATATCCAAGTATAATGAAACACATAAAACTAGTATGAGAGAGCAACATTTTAACATAAGACATGATTTTTTTAAATTCAGTTGTAAAGTTATGAGTCAGGAACACGTTCAAAACTGAAATGAGAGTTGTCTAAAAGGTAACAACAAACCAATATGTTAGTAAAGCGTGTCTGTCATAAACGTTTAAATGTCACACTGCATATCCAGAATATCACCAACGTAAGGGGTCCAAAGTGCCTTGTAAATATGGAGCTTTATAACTGCGCTTAAGGTGCAACAATGGTGCAAAGTTACCATATAGGAACGTGGCACAACACTTGTTGAAGAACATCCGGCGAGGGAGATCAATCAATCAATGTTTCAATTTTGTGTTAGCCAATTGGCTTAAAAACGCTTTGTTTTCCCCGTTTTTAAGCCAGTGGGCTAAATACCAATGGGGCTTAAAAACGTGCAGTGCCGATATAGGTCTGTATATATCAGGTGGAAAATGGACCCTAGTAAAGAATTATTTTAGCTGATTACCCAAATACGTCTCCATACTCTTTTCTCTGCTTGTTTTCAAAGTCAAGCCCCTGCAACATTAATGCACACTGTGTGAAATTAGAAAAAAAACAATTTCAAGGAAAAGGACTTGAGTTGAGAGAGTTTAACATTAGAGTAACTGTAGATGAATACAAAGATACTGACTTGAGTGGAGGGAGGGCCTAGGTTAACATTAGCGTAAAAGGAGATGTTAATTATAAAGAACGGACTTGGGGGGAGAGGGGGCCTTGGTTAACACCGCGGTAACTGGTGATGTTAGAACGGACTTGGGGTGAGTGAGAGCCTAGGTTAACCTCGAGGTAACTGGTGATGTTATGATATCTTAAAAGAACGGACTTGAGGGGAGAGAGGGCCTAGGTTAACACCGATGAGGTAACTGGTGATGGGGGGGGGGGGGGGGGGGGGGGGGGGGTGGTAAGTATAGGTTAACACCGCGGTGACTGGTGGTGTTATTTAAAAAGTAGGAACTTGAGTTGAGAGAAGTTAATATTAGAGTAATTGTAGATGAATATCAAAGAAACTGACTTGAGAGGAGAGAGGGCCTAAGTTAACATTAGTGTAACTGGAGATGTTTTGTATATTAAAAGAAGCTGACTTGACGGGAGAGAGGGCCTAGGTTAACACCGAGGTAACTGGTGATGTTATTTAAAAAGAACGGACTTGACGGGAGAGAGGGCCTAGGTTAACACCGAGGTAACTGGTGATGTTATTTAAAAAGAACGGACTTGAGGGGAGAGAGGGCCTAGGTTAACATTAGTGTAACTGGAGATGTTTTGTATATTAAAAGAAGCTGACTTGACGGGAGAGAGGGCCTAGGTTAACACCGAGGTAACTGGTGATGTTAATTAAAAAGAAGGGACTTGTGGGTAGAGAGGGCCTAGGTTAACACCGAGGAGGTAGCTGGTGATGTTATCTAAAAAGAACGGACTTGAGGGGAGAGAGGGCCTAGGTTAACACCGAGGTAACTGGTGATGTTATTTAAAAAGAACGGACTTGAGGGAGGGCCTAGGTTAAGACGGAGGTAACTGGTGATGTTATCTAAAAAGAACGGACTTGAGGGGAGGGGGGCCTAGGTTAACACCGAGGTAACTGGTGATGTTATGATATCTTAAAGAAACGGACTTGAGGGGAGAGAGGGCCTAGGTTAACACCGAGGTAACTGGTTATGTTATCTAAAAAGAACAGACTTGAGAGTAGAGAGGGCCTAGGTTAACACCGAGGAGGTAACTGGTGATGTTATTTAAAAAGAAGGGAATTGAGGGGAGAGAGGGCCAAGGTTCACACGGAGGTAACTGGTGATGTTATCTTAAAAGAACGGACTTGAGGGTAGAGAGGGCCTAGGTTAACACCGAGGAGGTAACTGGTGATGTTATCTTAAAAGAACGGACTTGAGGGTAGAGAGGGCCTAGGTTAACACCGAGGTAACTGGAGATGTTATTTAAAAAGAACGGACTTGAGGGGAGAGAGGGCCTAGGTTAACACCGAGGAGGTAACTGGTGATGTTATCTAAAAAGAGTTGACTTGAGGGTTGAGAGGGCCTAGGTTAACACCGAGGAGGTAAGTGGTGATGTTATTTAATAAGAAGGGACTTGAGGGGAGGGAGGGCCAAGGTTAATACCGAGATAACTGGTGATGTTATTAAAAAAGAACGGACTTGAGGGTTGAGAGGGTCTTGGTTAACACCGAGGAGGTAACTGGTGATGTTATTAAATAAGAACGGACTTGAGGGGAGGGAGGGCCAAGGTTAACACCGAGATAACTGGTGATGTTATTTAAAAAGAACGGACTTGAGGGTTGAGAGGGTCTTGGTTAACACCGAGATAAATGGGGAAGTTATCTAAAAAGAACGGACTTGAGAGTAGAGAGGGCCTAGGTTAACACCGAGGTAACTTGTGATGTTATCTAAAAAGAACGGACTTGAGGGTTGAGAGGGCCTAGGTTAACACCGAGGTAACTGGAGATGTTATTTAAAAAGAACGGACTTGAGAGTAGAGAGGGCCTAGGTTAACACCGAGGTAACTTGTGATGTGATCTAAAAAGAACGGACTTGAGGGGAGAGAGGGCCTAGGTTAACACCGAGGAGGTAACTGGTGATGTTATCTAAAAAGAACGGACTTGGGGGTAGAGAGGGCCTAGGTTAACACCGAGGAGGTAACTGGTGATGTTATTTAAAAAGAACGGACTTGAGGGGAGGGAGGGCCTAGGTTAACACGGAGGTAACTGGTGATGTTATGATATCTTAAAGAAACGGACTTGAGGGGAGAGAGGGCCTAGGTTCACACTTAGCTTACTGGTGATGTTATCTAAAAAGAACGGACTTGAGAGTAGAGAGGGCCCAGGTTAACACCGAGATAACTGGTGATGTTATTTAAAAAGAACGGATTTGAGGGGAGAGAGGGTCTTTGTTAACACCGAGGTAACTGGTGATGTTATTCAAAGAAAAATACTTGAGGGAGAGAGAACCTAGGGTTAAAATTGCAGGAATAGAAGATCTTATTTCAAAGTAGCGGACCTGAGGGGAGAGAGTACGTATTCGATATTTACCTTCCAGACGAAATCTAGAATGGCCCCAAAAATAAGATTTGGTTCTCGTCCAGGGATACCAGCATCCTTCAACAGGCGCTTTCTCCTTTTACCATACCTTGAGAAACAAACAGAACATTAAACAGCTGACAAAACTGGCTAACTTGCTTTCAGGATGACACCCGTGTTTCCTCTAAAAAGCATTACCATACACACTCAGAGGCATTATGTGCTGTGAACATCTTATCATGGGTTTAAGCTAAATATTTGCCAAACATTGAAATTAAATCAGAAACATTTACAATAACTGTTGCCAATTTGTAAATCTATATATTATCATAATTATACAAGTAAAGTCGAGTCCCACTACATACGGGTTCAACTGGGGATACATATAGTAAACAGAGTTTGCTGGAACAGACACATCTGAGTTGGAGACAACTGGGTTCAACAGGTTTGTTTGATGCTCCTAATTATTGCCGCACGCGACAGCACTATTAACTCGAAATAAGCAGAAAGAATTACTCCGCTTGCATTTAGACGGTTTGAATCTCGAAATTGAATCCCGAACGCAATGGAAACATCGAATTTCACAACAGCACTCGAACTTAGAAATGGCCATCGGTGTCATATTTCAACAAACACGTAGTATTTCCTATAAATTTTGGTAATATAAAAATACGTTTACTTACGAAAGCAATTAATTCAGGCCGTGTGTGTGTGTGTGGGGGGGGGGGGGGTCTCCGGGCAAATGCTCTATATCCCAGACCATGGGGGCGGTCTCCGGGCAGATGCTCCATCCACTACACCACGGAGGCGGTCTCCTGGCAAATGCTCTATATACCTGACCACGGAGGCGGTCTCCGGGTAGATGTTCTATATACCAGACCATGGGGACGGTTTCCGAACAGGTACTCCATCCACTAGACCACGGAGGCGGTCTCCGGGCAAATGCTCCATCCACTAGACCACGGAGGCGGTCTCCGGGCAGATGTTCTATGTACCAGACAACGGAGGCGGTCTCCGGGCAAATGCTCTATATACCTGACTACGGAGGCGGTCTCCGGGCAGATGCTCCATCCACTAGACCACGGAGGCGGTCTCCGGGCAGATGTTCTATATACCAGACAACGGAGGCGGTCTCCGGGCAAATGCTCTATATACCTGACTACGGAGGCGGTCTCCGGGCAGATGCTCCATCCACTAGACCACGGAGGTGGTCTCCGGGCAGATGCTCCATCCACTAGACCACGGAGGCGGTCTCCGGGCAGATGTTCTATATACCAGACCACGGAGGCGGTCTCCGGGCCGATGTTCTATATCCCAGACCATGGGGGCGGTCTCCGGGCAGATGCTCAATCCACTACACCACGGAGGCGGCGTCCGGGAAGATGCTCTTTAAAATACACACTAGAGGCGGTCTCCGGCGTGATGTTCCATCCACTAGACTATGGAGGCGATCTTGAAAAATGTCCACTCACTGCGTTTGTCCATGTTTTTCTTTCTTTTTGGATTGCCTTTAGTTGTTTCTTATTTGTAATGAGCATGCTCATAGTGATTATTGGAACAGAAGCTCTATGAAAACAACCTAAAAGAGTGTCTTGCTCATGGTGCAGTGCAAATCCCCACAATTAGTTACATATTTGGGTGAACATGAGTCTCAGTCATACTGTGTTGGTAACTGCAATGGTCACTGACAAAAACATTTCAATGCCCCTATACCTGAAAAATATCTTGAAATTTAGTTGTCTTAAATTGTGCATAATAATAAAGTGCTGGTGCCTCTGTCCTAGGCCTACATGACCCATTAGACACTAAAATTCTCCATCTCATACAGAGTTCACCTATACGTTTCGCCTTTTTTATAGCTCTTATTGTAACGCGTATCGTGGTAATTTATCAACTGTCAGCTTTTCGCCATACGAACGATCAGATTTCCTTCGCCAGAATATGGCGGCGGTTCAAACTTTCATTGGCAAAAACGTGCGTTTCCCCGTCCCCGTCGCGTGATCTGCGATCTGTCACAGAACATAGGTACCTGTCTATGCACATTATCAGTATTGTTTGAGATTAATTATAGAGGAAGAGTTCACATTTTTTCAGAATTAATGATAAATTAAATAAAGACGCAGAGAGTGATACTTTAATGTCGGGTGTTCTGTCCGGAGGTATCGGAAGTGCAGACGACGGATACATTTGGAACGTTTCAGTGTCACTTCAATAACATCAAATTTCATCGCAACGCTACGATGAATATTAATTGTGACTGACATGACACATGTACAAGTAAGTTCCGATTGAAACAGATCGCGAAATATAATATCATACAGTTTTGCCTGGAACTATTATAGTCAAAGCACGAGGATATGTAGGTAGGGCAAAAGGTGTTACATTTCTAAGATGACGAATCTTGTGTGTTTTTTTAGATGGGTTTAAAATCAAATCTGTAATGAGCGGCACCGTAAACTGAACGACTGGTTCATCTAATTACCTGCATCGTAACGTTAATGGACAAAATACGTTTCAAACAAACTATAACACCACCAAATTGGGCAGTTCCTGGTTAAATTGTCACATTTTAGTATTGTCCGTTCAGTGAGTAATTATCCTCAATCCAATGCGGCAATAAGTTTGATTTAAATTCTATTTTCGTGTATATATTTGGTTCAATGTAATCACGTGACGTCAGTACTGTCCGGTTTATGTCAGTGTGCGTGCGGCAACGCAAATAATCTAATTTTTAAATTAATAATTGTTTTTTCGGTATTTTCAATATGATGATAATAAGTATACAGACGGTGATGTTATGATTACGAATATACGATGTTTCGTCTTTTTCTTTCAGCAAATGAAAGATTTTAATTTATCTATACCATTATAAATGTAATTTTTGGCCGATGTTAATATATCTTTATGGGGACGGGGGTGGAGTCAACACACTCTGTTGCAGGTCGTTATAGGCAAGGTAATAATAATTAGCAAAGTAACATTAATTATATCAAATCATAAATGTTACAACGGGTAGAAAAGAAAGAAAATATTTTTTAAATATTTTTTTCGCAGTGTTTGTGCCATAAGAACATACCCACCAAACCAGTCTAGCAAATTTCTAAACTTATTTGCCTGGCCATTTTACACATTGTTAGATTGGCATTTTTAGAAGTTGGCAAGTAGCTAGAAAGACAAGATATTGTATGGATGACAACTTCTTTATTTTAAGATGAGTGTGTTAGTTAACATTTAACGTCACACAGGCTATATTTCAGCCATATCGTGGCGATATTTTATGATAAAGCGACGTTCCGGTATAGATCTTTATACCGTCGTCAAGCAAGAAAAAAGACAGCACAGTAGGGGCTGATATACATGTAATAAGGCTTAACAAAAATCAAATGAGGTATGCATGAAGGGATTAACAACAACAACAAAGGGTCATGGTTGATTGATATAGAAACAACAGGAAGAAGCCAACTGTCCATGACGGGGTTCAAATATACAGTGCTGATGGGTTTAATTAGATATGACAGCTGGAGTGTTCTTTTGTTTTATCAATTCATTAGGATGAGGTATCCTTGATCTCTGTTGACTGAGGGCTTGAACTGCTTCTGCTAGTTGTCGTTTGGTGAAGTCATGGAGATTGTTTGACAGGACTTGCACATGGTACATTCATGATCATCATCATCATGGCATCATGGGGATGATGATAAACAGCAAACAAGCAGCAAACAAAAACTCCAGAGCATGGTTACTTGCCAAAGACCACAACAGGTATTTCATACAAATAAAAAATGAAAGAAAGAAAGAAAACTTAAAAACCCAGCTCACACTACTACGTATAGCGTAATAATTAACATAACCTTCCCTGTCGAAACTTAGATGACAGAAGAAATTATTCAGGTGATATGAAGAAGTAAATAAACTAATATAGAAAATAGATTGCAAACTTTAGCAAGGTTCACTCATTTCATGTTATAACTTCATATGCGACCAAGGCTATAGTAAATCAAGAGTTATGTCCCTTGCACTTTACTCGTCATGTAAACATTCAACTCCCATTCCAATGATATTGTCCGTATACACAAAGCGCGTCGTGTATCACAGTGAGTTTCACCTTTAAAAATCGTTGTATATATAGGGTTTTTCAAAACAGACTCGAAAAGCATATGTTCAAGGTTATAATAGTACACTTACAGATAAAGCAAAGCCACGAAGCCTGCAATGAGACCTAGCGTCCAGGCAGCATTACCACCGAACAGGTCCATGGAGAATCTGGCTGACAAGCAGTCTGGGTGACAGTGACTTGTAGGATTGTCCTTTGAAGCAATAGGTGTGCACTATGTTCAGCCTATATGTGTAGTTCAACGCGGAATGCAATCTCTATGAAGTGTAAGGTGTTGTCAGCCATTTTGTTTTCCCCGTGACCTATTTTTTTTTTCACAAGAGATTGACCTATATATTTTATCATTGGCCATTGTGTGCTATACATGGGGACCGACTCGGCAGCTGTTGGTTGAGATTTACAACGTGAAGTGAAATGGCGTTTAGCTTCGCGTTGCAGATTTTGGGTGGGGGGGGGTGACGTTCCCTCACACGAAGGTTGTCTCGGGGTAGACGCTTGTAGCGCGAGAAGAGGGATACGACCAGACCTGGAATAAACACCATAGATAATTATATGCGTCGCATGCAACTACGTATTTAACCAACAAACAGTTAATAAGAACAAAATCCCTTGCACTTTTTGTGTTTTTTACTTAAAGGGGAAGTGTACACGCAAAAATCACTTTCTTTCTTTTTCTAAACAAAACGCAATTTTAGAATTAGTTAGTATCTGTGTTTGAAAATATACACTCATTTTTTTTCACAGTGAAAGTAGGAAGCTCACAATAGTGTTAAAATGATATGCCGTTATGAAGCCTTCGTTTTACGAGCGAAATAGGCCTGAGTTATCCCCCTTAGATTATGACGTAATTGGTGCCGATTCAACTGGGTCCCTGTCTATTCTCAACGCAAAAGATATCAAGGACCAGTTTGCGGTAAAACAACATGGTCTACGACACACTCGGCGCAGTGGGGACTCAGCATAACACAATTCTGGCTGGCATCTGAGACGCTAGAATCACAAAACTGTACCTACACCACGTGAAGCGGCTCTAACAAAGCATGATGACGTCATAATGTTTATCAATTGGCACCAATGACGTTATATTGCAAGGGGCATAAGCCCTGGTGTTTTTGTTATGGAAATAGAACACTTGGTAAATGTGAAAAATATAAATCGTTTTAATGCAAAAAATATGTTAATTAAATTTGATGATTTTATATTTTTGTCTATGACACTTCTATGTTAACACTTTTAATGTGGAAAAAGTACAAGAAAAATTGGTTCATTTCCGTGTGAACTTGCCCTTTAACTCCGCTTTGCAAAGTGCGCCAATGACAGTGCTACTGACTCGATGTCCGCCATTGTAGCTAAATAGCAGCGTATAAAAAGCGGTAACGGGGAACTAAAACAGGTCGCTAATTAGTAAGTGCAAATTCGTATATAATTGAAGTATTGCTTATAATGTGTAATAACTACCTATTGCCATGTTTCTAACCATGATATCCCTCCCAAATGTATTATTTGATTGTCTTTCATATTATAACCTAAAATATGACTATCTAGTTCGTGAGATGGTGACATGTTTAATAATACAGTAAATATTCTCTTAAATAGCTATATTGACCACTCCTGGACACAGTGTTTTTCTAAAAAAATATCAAAAGCCAAATGGACATAAAATTATTCTCTGTGTTCCAATTATTTTATAGATGTTATGCCACTCCTGGATGGGAATATAAGTGTAATAATTACATGAAGAAATGATACAGTAGAAATTCATGAAAAAACATTTCCTTTGAATCACCAACAACCCTATTCCTTTTTAAAAAAGAATGTTTTAAAGGAAAAACTGCCATAAGTTATACTCTATAATGCAAAATATCCTTCCTTGTCAGCATGAAAATAACTTGGAAACGCATTGAACCATTCCTGGTAGCTTATTGACATACAAGTTGAAGCTTTCATAAACATTTTGACACCATACATGACATCTGAATCATAAAAAATAATACTGATATTTAGAAAGGCTACAAAATTACCAACATAAGGCATATAACGTGTATTTAAAAAACCCATTACTAACAGACAATTGAACTTGTTAACCAAAGCTCTGTCAACATTAAGATTACAGGTGTACAGTAAAAATATGGAATTAAATAATTTTTAAAGCGTTTTTAAACTAGGATCTCGAAGATTATTTTTCTAAAGTCAATATAAGTAGCAAAATGTGTAAAAACCTACCCGTATTCCGGAAACTACTGAGTGTTTATGAGCAGAAATCGGACGTCATAGTGGAGAGTAGACTTGCAGACGATCACTGTTTCTGTATAGTGTTTGGTAGCTTACTGGTGTTCGCCAGGTACCGTTCACAATGGCATCACCCAGCACCGATGAAAACGTTGGATTTTCGCTCATTGACCTTACACATATTCGTCCATATAAATATGAGCCCCGTGATCAAAATAGTCTTGACAGCAGCGAGGAAAGCGAAGTAGATCAACACGTAATTAGACGAGAGAACAAAATCTGGTATTAAACATTTACCGGACTTGTCTTAATAAAATGAGTCTTTCTCGAATAAAACAAGTTCGTGAGACAGTTATTCTTATGTAAAATGTGCCAGGTGTAGGCTGACACTTTCCATTGTCAAAACATTGTTCATTGTCTTGTCATTATGTCAAACACGTAGCATAGGGCTTCAGCTAAATGTGTTTCGTATTAATTGTATTGTCTAGTGATGGTTGGTTCAGTTAAAACTGTCGTTTAAATAGTTGTAATGATGTGTACTTCATTGATAAATAGAAATATATTCGTGGCAGGCATTAAGCTTATAAGATACACTTTACTTGTCTTTTCCAAAAACATCCATCATTATAACATGGACTACCCTATACTAGATCGATATACAAACAGAGAATGAAATAAACATAGATAAGTTTAACAACAAATACATTAAATAGAACTGACACTATTACACTCAAAATTACCTTTCACATTATAATTTCTCCAAAAATGAACACCACACTCACACTTGTCTCACCAGAAACAGCTTTTTGTCATACAATAACTTATTCTAGATTTAGACACAGAATATGAAGAATCATCCCGTGGTTGATCCAGATGCGGAATCCGAGGATTAAACACACCCACTAAAAAAAAGTAAAAACTACCCCCTCCCCATCGACTGAGGGTAAAAACAATTCGTTTCAAAAAGCCTGGATCCGCCTCAGGTCATTAATGATAGCTAATAAACAAATATCCAATCAAACTGACACACAAACACCTTTTTCACATTGACATTTATCGGATATTCAATACCAAGTCAAATACATGTACATGCTTTGTTTTACAAATAATTAAATCAATGGCGTTTGCGTCTTTATATGTATCGGAAATCCTATTTTGTTATTAAAAAGATGTATATCATGTACGTGGTTGTGAGTACCAACCTGTTTAATATACATTTTTTAATGAGAATTCAATTAATTTCAGGTCTTACTGATACTGTTCAGGCAGAAAATTCTCAACTTCAAGTCTTGTTTACCAAAGACGTCCTAAAAATCATCCATCTCGCATGTTTTGAAAAAAATAAGAGAATCCTTTCCTGAACACATGCAAGGGTTCCAAGTATGCAAGACCATGGACTGAATATGTGAATGTATCTTAGGAAAAATTGTCCTAAATGTATTGCCTTAGCATGTAATCTGACGCATTTGCGTGTTCCTTTGAAATTGTTGTACGATGGTAGTCAGTCATGGATTATGTTAAACGATGAATGCAAAAGTTATTTTCGTAACCAAGTTATTTCAATTTGTCTGGATCTCACTCAAAGACAGATGCCTCAAAATGCAAGGAACACAGCAGGGGCATGCCCAGTCGGTTTTCATTTCTTTTCTCCACGCTGACATCTGTATCGAGAGACCATATATCGTTATATGGTCTCCGCTGTATCCAAACGTCCCTCCTCGCTCAATTGGCCTTTTCGCTTGGAAATCTAAAGAAACGACACTTGTTAATTTCGTTTGATGAACTGGTACACCCCCATGCGACAATCCAGTGATTAATATCATGAGCATTGATCCACGCAATTGGGATCGGGGACATGCAAGTCAGCGAGCCTGACCACCCGATTCCGTTAGTCGCCTTTTACGACAAGCATAGTCACCTTTTACGGCAAGCATGGGTCGCTGAAGACCTATTCTACCCCGGAATCTTCACGTGTACCATACCTTATTGGAGAGAAATACTCTTTTAAGCTGGTGTCGAGATAACCTGTATATTTCCTAATTGATATGGATTTTTTGCTTTGTCTCCTTCGAAATTGGCATGTTAAGCAACATAAAAACATTAAACAGAAAGTGTTTTAGATTTTCTAGGAGCATTTCAAAGTAACAAGTAAATGAATCATTAAACTTAAGTGTAACTTTCTTTCATGTTGTGGTTTTAAAGAGTTTCTTTCACTTGAGGAGGTTACTTCCCTTTGTCGGCTGTGATAGACATTATGGAAACAATCCACCGCTTCACTTCCTAATTTCTTGTAAGGTTCATTACCTCGCCTCACATGTATGAGAAGCTGCTGAATGAGTGACCATGTTTTTCTCTACTGTTTATCTAGTACTGTCGTTTGCAACATGATAATTTATGCTGAATGTGACCACAGATATTTTCAAGTAGGTGACATTTGATGCGGAACTGGGGGTAGTGTGTTTATTTTCCTGTACTCGGAAAAGGAGCTGGCTGAGCTAGTCAATTCTTTTTGTTTTTATGGCTGCTTTGAGGCCAAATTGTGCACACATGTGTATTTTTTAAATGGCTACTGAATGCTTAGTTATTTACAAAATATATATAACGTTACTAAAGAAGTCTATGGGAAAACATTTGTTTGTGTGTAACGTATATCATGTTAAATCGAGCCCTGATTATGAACTGTTTAAACTTGCAAACCCCTTCCATTTTCTAACACTACACCTATCTGTTCTGATATAATGTATATTGCATTTTGACATTTTGGCTTTGGTGTTTTCAGAAAAGACATCGGCGAAGACTACCTTTTGGAATATTGAGGGAGTCTAACAGATGAGGAAAAGGCAAAGGAGTTGCTAGAGCAAAGGAAGGGTGCTACGTGTTCTGTTCCACATTTAAAGAAAAGAAAACATGGAATTTGCAGATTTTTGGCATTTTTATTTCTCTCAAAAGGGAGGGGTAGGTGACATTTACGAAGAAACAACTTGAAAACTGTTAAAGACTTTTCATCCAAACCAGTTACATGTATTAACTAAGGGCAAAAAGTTCCGCATCCCAATTCCATGGTATTGTTTTGATTAGCCATGATAGAGGGTATTCATTCAACTTGAAGACCTAATATCTAACACACCGATTCAACAGCGAGCAAATAAAGAAAAAATATAGAGGCATACTACTTAAAAAGAATTGTTGTCCCATGAAGAGAATCAGACGAAATCACTAAACGTAATTGAAGCGATAAATTCCAAAGCGTTTGTAACCACAATTAACTTAACAACCAACACATTCATAGAGATACCGAGAGCGTGCGCGTGAACACTCGCCGCCTCCCTCCACCAAAACCACCACCACATTAAGAACACACACACACACACACACACACACACACACACACACACACACACACATAGAAATTCGGTTTTTGTTGTAAATTATGGTGTGACAGTGACTGAATCATGGACATAATAGCTTTATATTCGGATATTTCTTTGTCAGCACATTCAGGTGTTATCATTGATGGGGACTGTGTTTAGCTTCAGCTTAATTGGCGGAGTGCTGTTTGAGGAGATGATGTTTACAGGCGACGGCAACGAAGACGCTGAAAAAGCAGGCCATGACACAAGCTTGTTTGACTTTCTTCAAATAATCAATTTAAACAAATCTGTGACAAAACTGCAAACGAGTGACTTCAAATTTAACGTCACATCGGCACTATTTCACTGTGTCTGGGGCCCCAAGATTCAGTGAAGAAATATCGGAGGTACAGAGAGGGTCTAATGTAGTGGTTGCAAAGTCACACTTGTACAGAAACATCGCATTCCTGAATTCACTTGAATTTATTTAAATGGGACACAATAGATTCGGGTGTATGACACAGCCACCTTACCCTCGAAGAACAACATACTATTGTAGTGATCTGCGGATCACTGGTTTTTAACACTTGTGTTACCTCCTGCTCAAATGTACTGCGCAGTCACAATAGTCACAAGAAGGAAGTATATTACTTGTTAAGGATACGTTACCTTATCTCTGTAATTCGTGTATACATAGTTTATTTTTACTGAAAGGTTTCCCTAAACTTGTCTGGCGCATATCATTTACTTTTTGGAATTTTGTGCTTTCCACCCTACATGTAGGTTTCATATGATTCATCATTATTCGGTAGGTTTGTAAAACTTCAAAGTTTTAAATTACTGGGAAATGATAATGTTTAAGACAATCAATCTGTTCTTTATGATCATATCCTGAAACAATGTGAAAAATGATGCCTCTCCTTGCTTTTGTACATCTATTTATATTAGTATGAATCAATCAATAGTTCCAGTTGGATAGTAATGTACATTGGTGAAATTATTTATAAATTTCAATATGTTTTTGTTAATGATACGCAAAAGGTGGGCCATATTTTGTTTTGTGTGGAAGTATTGCCAATGGGAATGCATTAAAAGTGGATTAGATTTAGGCTCCACTCGCGAGCACAAAGTCAAGTTCATTCATAGACTGTTATTATAAGGGTAACGCTATTGTTCAGGGCATTATCATTAAATTTTGCAGAAGACGAGGTCTTCAATTAACTGCCCGACGAAGTGGCCCGCTCATTTCCGATAACATGCGGGCGGTTTAATGATAATTCTATCCATCTTAGCTATAAATAAGGGTAACGCTATTTTTCAGGGAATTATCATTTGCAGAAGCCCGAGGTCTTCCATGAACTGCCCGACGAAGGAGGGCGGTTGAAAAGACCGAGGGCTTCTGCAAATGATAATGCCCTGAAAAATAGCGCTTCCCTTATTATAGCTAAAAATGGAACTTGCTATAAGATAAAAAGCGCAACAATATCGGTTTGGAAACATTAACTGCAATCAACACGAATGTTACTGACCCACTTTTACAAGTATGGAAACGTCTGAGAACAAACCAGATGACGTCACTATTGAACATGACGTCACCTATCCCTATCCTATGACGTCACCTAACAACGGGCGTGATAATGGCCCGTTGTCAAGCAATATAAGGGCATTATCAAGCTCATTTCTGTTCATGTCAGCTATAATATGTGCTAAACGGTGATACCAATTACAACAACAACATGCCAGGGAGACTTTACATTTGTAAGGCATGTTGTTGAAAAGTCCTCTCGTCAGCGTCGCCGTATAGGGTCTAGCGTTGCTGTCTTGGAAGAGTATACCCTCTGGCTATTGAAGAAAAGCCAACAGAACGGGTGCAAAACGTCATTTCGATGACTAAGTGCATGAACATCGCTTCGAATGATAACCTACTCAGTTTTAGGTTTCTCCCCAGACCATGACAACACCTTTTCTCTACGCAAGCTCCAACGTTCATACAATTTGGACCTCGCTTTGTGAATGTTCCAACTCCAGTGAAAACACACAAAGTGAATGTCAATTAAAAAATCTTGTTATTTACATTTTGGATGTTTGGGGACCACTAAATGTGAAGTGAGGGACTCTTCAACGAAGTTTTCGTATGATATGTGTCAATACTTTACAGTTTATTCTTTCATAAACTCTTCGGAAACAGTATCACAAAATACGCATCGGAATATCCAACGTAAGTCAAGATATCTGTCCACATATTTTAAACTGACTTCATTTTGCCACGCTGAACTTTTACATGAAAGCAAATTGAAAGTAGCGAAAGCAGTCGGGTACTCGCTCGTTGAGACTCCAATCATCTGTAGTCGTTCATTGCAAATAGACGGACAGACAGACAGACAGAGAAACAATATATTAAGTAACAGTCCACATTACATATACTTTGCATGATAATAAAGATTACAAAACAAATTTCCATAATCATAAGATATATTGTATATTGAGTCCATTGGGCGATTCCGATTGTATCATAAGCATGACATTGTGTTTTTGAATCACTATCAGATAGTGTTCACGAAAGCTGAGAGCATCCTGTCCCACAGGTTGCACCCGTCACAAACTCATGCAAGTCAATTAATCACCTGATAAAACACGGTAATATATTGAAAAAGTAACAAAAAGAGAGAGTGGCTGTCTGACCATTATTGAACGATATTCGATCATCGATATACCTGAAACCGAAGTCAAAGCTCTTGGTCAAATTCCCTGGTTTTAATTTTGTCAATCCGATCAGAAACTGGAGTAAAGTATAAAAACAATTTCATTCTTGAAAAAAATAAGTATGTAGGTGTTTCGTAATGTGTAGACTTTTGCAAAGAACACACCCATAGTACATGTATGGGAGACACTATTACCATATGTTTTACAATGTAATATGGCGAGAAGTACTTTCTTCTTTTAGTGACTTATTGGTGACCTATAAACATATCATGGTATTGATCTTCAATATATTTGCAGATTTTGGATTTTGTGAGGACTGTAAATGCTCGACCTTTAAACCGAAATTATTACATATAAACCTTGAGATTTATACCTTAATTTAATGTGGAAATACACTTTTAAATAACTACCTGTGTTCAAGATATATTTGAACTGAACATAATAATTACATTTTGAAGATGATTGAAAACAAATTCCAGGTGGAGATTGTCAGATGGTCTTTACAGAATTTCATAATGTGATATAGTCGATTTCTTGTTGTATCGAGTCCAGTCCAAAACCTTAACTGAACGAAATGTCGGCAGTAAATAATATATGAATAAATGATATAGAATGCAAATAAGCTTTGATGCGTGGAACGAGCTTGTTTGGTTTTGTAACGAGTTAATCCCGAAAATGTCTGGATACTTATATTGATGAAGGAAAAAATTCTTAAATATGGTCACGGTTAACAAATGTGTGTGTGACGTAAGCATTAAGTAGTCCACCATCTGCCCTTACCCCGCATGATAAATGCCCACAGGTTCATATACCCTTTGTATTCATCATGTATAAATGCCATAACCTGTTTCTCAACAAGGAAGTCTTAAGGCATTTGTGAATATCATTCACGTGATACATTATTCACACTCCGCGCTGTCATTTCTCCGCGTAACTGCGCCGTGAAATCATGGCTGAATTTCACGCTGTTTGTGGTATAATTATGTTTCTGGTAACACAAGCGTCCGCAGAAGGTAGGTTTGAAATATCAATACTTACAACATACTAAATCCAGGGGTACTGGAAAATACCTTTACGGAAATGCTTTGATTTACGATTAATTCTTTAACTTTGGCGCCATTACACCACAGCATCATTGCTAGATATGATGAGATCTGGTTATGGCCACAGACCTAAGATACATACCAGTAGCATTCAACATTTACCATGGCCACAGATCCATGCTGCGTGTTTTAGTGTAGACTTTTCAAATAAAAAAGTGTCGTGTTTAGCGTCTTATCAAATAGATGAACATATCTCCACAGGTGACCGTTATGTTTTCACGGGACATGTTAGGGGTATTCTGGTATGTTAGGAACATAATCATAAAGTTCCATAAAATGAATGTAAATTACAAATAAGACACAGGATTATGTTAGGGATATTCTGGTAGGGAAAATGACGGCATGTACACCTCAATTAGTAGGTGTATTTTGGAGGCGTAGCGCGTCATATGTCGTTCAAATGATACAACAGACGGTACGATATTCCCCGAAGGAGCAATCAAATGTTCAGAAAAGATGACGATAACTCCGTATGGTCATTTCACGAATGTGAACATAAATATCTAAACAAAAAACTTGAACGGGAGATCTGCAAGTTCATGTTTGTGAGGTACTTGTATCGTCATGCCTATACGGTTTTGTTACGAAGCAAACACAGTTTCGTTTGTCTTCGCTCATATTACAATTTCTAAATTTATCATGGTAATGTACTGCGTCGACACTACATGAAGAAGTAGTGTCATTGTGACCCGACCTTGTCCTTTATGCTTGTACGGTCGTTTTGACCGAGTGTATCATATGACTCGACAATATCATGACCATAAAGATATATAATAACAATTGTCGATACAAACTGAACAAATATGGAAAATAGAATAGTGTGGACTTTTCAAATAAAAACGTTTCGTGTTATAACAAGATGCTTAGCTTCTTATCAAACAGGTGACCGTTATGTTTTCACGGGGCATGTTAGGGGTATTCTCGTATGTTAGGAACATAATCATAAAGTCCCATGAAGTGAATGTAAATTACAATTAAGACACGGGTTTTTGAAATCCAGGGTAAGGTTACTATGCAGTGCAACAATTATTGGTCAGTTGAAAATGACGGCATGTACATCTGGTACAGTAGTAGGTGTATTTTGGAGGCGTAGAAGAGTAACGGTAACTCCATATGGTGATTTCACGAATTTAAACATGAACTAAACAGTAAACTTTGTTTGCAAATTTCATTTGACAGGAAGCCTTCCACATCTTTCAATTCATTAAACACACCACATGTGGTTGTTTTAAAGTGTATCGTAGACGTGTAACCATTGTTTTTCACATACATTTTGTATTCTAACCATATACAGAACCAAGGTTTTCGGCATTTTTGGCCAAGAAGTTGAAGGTGCTATGAAGATTTGCGGCCTTATCCGTTGGCTTTACAGTATTGCATACTACTATTATTATTAATAGTATAGAACTTTTTACAGTATCGTAACCACATATGTATATAACGTTTATCTGTAAGAATCCATCATTATTTCTATATGTTACTGCACTTAGAATTTTAACAAATGGATACAAAAAATGACAAGACACAAGACAGATGGAGTTGCGCAGTAAACACAAATACACACCAGCAGACATTCTTAACGTCGCTTTGAACACTATTTCATTTACATCACAGCGTGTCAGCTTGGTGTGGGAGGGAGCCCGAAGTGAGGCAAATATTAGACCTTTATATAAATACCACTTTGGTATAACCCACGAGAACGGGCATTGCGCTGACAATCCGAGAAACATAAGGGAGAACGATCATAGATTTCACGTGTGTAGGTGTTTGTTCTAGTGCATATTTATGCCGGTTTTATAGTGCAAGGACACTGAGATGCCAGTCCAACTCCAAGCCGAGCATTCATTGTTTCATCTCCTTAATGCCGAGCGCCAGGCAGGGTAACTACATGCACCATATCGTTTAACAGCGTCTTCGGTTTAACACGGCCAGTGGATCGCACCACCGACCTTTTGGTATAATCGGCAGACGCGCTATTCACTAGACACGGCGATACAATGATAATATGATTAGAAAAGAACTTGAACGGGAGATCTGCGTGTTCATGTTTATGAGTGTAGTGCGTCGATACAACATGAGGAAGTAATGTCAATGTCACCCGACCATTTCCTTTATGCATTATATGAATTATATAGTGCGAAAATCCACATCTAGTACCTTCGAGACCCATTTTCCTCTCTAATAGCGTGCTTTATGTAGCGTTGCAAATTGTCAACTGAAAATAATTTTACACTGTCGTTGCTTTCATGGTTTAACAAAACGAAGCTACGCCGAGATTTGTTTGTTGCTTAACGCCACACTCAGCAATGCGAGCACTTTATGACGGCGGTCTGTAAAAAGTCGAGTCTGGACCGGTCAATCCAGTGATTGACATCATGAGCATCGACCTCCGCACATGGGATACAATGACATGCATGAACAAAGTCAGTGAGTCTGACGATCCGATCCCGTTAGTCGCCCCTTTGACAAGAATGGGAACTTCACGACCTCTCATTTTAAGCAATGGGGTGCTGGGGACACATTCTACAACACGGGCTTACACCGAGTCGAACAAGGAGGCATATCGTAATAATGAAACAGTATGTTTGTTTACTTCTTATCTGACAGTGTAGATAACTGCCCCGTTAAGTCGTTGTCATATTATAACACAATGATATTCATAAAAATGTATGTTATGTCATGGTCTGTCCACTGTTCACACATACTTCAATACAGGAGAACACAAAATTGCTTACCATATGTTGGAAAGAATGCTTTTAAGGCGATAGATGATGTCATTCAACACACCAAGATTAAGACAGATCTCAAATAGCAATTATTATCATAGATACAGAAACTGCTTTCAAGATATACATGTAAAGGTTTTATAAACATGAATTCATTTGAATAACTAGAGATGCACATTCTCTTTTCAAACGACACTTTATTAGTGCAAAATTAATTAAATGAAAATATACCCATTTCGTAATTCCTTCACCTTGCTTTTCATTTAAGTTTCGCTTGTGTTGCCACTTTGTAAATGCTGGTTATTTAAACCTAATAAAATAAGTAAAGTAATTCAAGCACATTGTTGTCAGTTCGTAGAACAGGTGTAAAACACATTCACAGTCAAACACTGCAAGCTCTTTTCATCTTGGACCTACAGTCGGACACCCACTCTCGGATCATTCTCCATGGGGCTCAAAACCACCCCCTACATTCTTACAGTATTCTACTTCTGTTCATTTTTGGTATACAATTCTTAAGCTTTCATGTTAATGTGACCTTCTTAGCTTGGTAATGTAGTAGCCGATTGTTCAATTGTCGAAATGCAGTATTATTTATGTAGAGTAGGTAGGTGTGCATGAACCCTACGTACGTACCTACCTACCTTCCTACCTATGTACGTACCTACCTACGTACCTACCTACCTACCTACCTACGTCTACAAAAGATGAGGGAACTTATGATTTGAATGTAGCTGTCATTGAGGTGTACATTTACAACACAGTAACATTGCACCTGAACGCATCTAATCACAATGACATTCCACATAATCCACGATGCACACAGAAGCCAAAGTGTACACGCCTGTAGGGAACTCACAATCACTCCAGATGAGCCAACGCTTAACATTGCCTCTCAGATTGTATCTCAATGAACAGACAAAATCGGTACGATAGAGGTAGGACGTCAATATCCAAAGTTGCCCGAATGTGTGGCAAAACAAAAAGTGTAGTTACTCGACAAACGGGTGGGGTTGCAATGAGACATGGGCGTGGCAGGCCTAAAAACGACGCCTAGACAAGAATGTCTCATTACATTAATTGCACTACGCAAATCTACTCCCGGTATAATAGCTAATTCCGTACAATATCAGTCAGGCCCATTTCAATAACTGGCGTTAGAAACCGGTTCGATGCAGCTTGCCTGAAGGCAGGTCGTCTTGTGAAGGGTGGGCTAGGCAACACCAGGCCAGGGTCGCTACACCACGTTTAAAGCATCAAGGTTTTGCCTCAAATTCACAGATGGTAGAAGACGATATTGACGACGTAGCGACGAGCGGTATGCCATGACATCAATGCTTGAGCGTGATCGTTGTGTGATTCGCTAGTGTCATGGTATGGGACGGTATCACACAGGACAGGCGAACTGATTTGGTTATTGTTAATGGAAATTTAACTGGCCAACGATATGCTGGCGATATTTTACATCCTATCGTTGTTCCATTGGCTGGTATTAGACATTTTTAGCTGCAAGTAGACAATGCCAGACCACATTGTGCCCAGGTTGTCACTGAGTATCTTGGGCGAGAAGGCAAACGGACATTGTACTGACCCGCTAAGTACCCCCACACGTTCCCAATAGAGGATCTGTGGATGTTCTCAGGCGGAGAGTTTACGCCCGAGACCCAGCACCGCCACCGTGGCCCAACTTGAGGTAGCTCATAAGGCGGAATGGCGGGCAATACTAAGGCAGCCATACGCAAATTAATCAACAGTATACCATCCCGTGGCCATCAAGGTGTCGTGCGTGTAGATATTGATCTACACGCCCGAATAATAATAGTAATTTCATATTTTATCTAAATCGAAATATATAACAGTAATATTTAAAATAGTTAAAACTTGCTTTGATTCAACTTTAGTGTTTATATCAGGGTTATGTAAAACGTTGTCGAATGGAAATAACAAATACCATATATGTATGCCATACATACTATATCTCTCCCTTGACGCTTCATCTAAATTATTCTCAATTTATATCTTTACTAAATGTTGAAACCTATTTAATTTGTAATCTTCTCTGTTATCAACGCATAATATTAACCATGTTTCGGTGTAATAACTTCAGATTTGTTGTTGAATGCGGACACCATACAAATACCCCCCATAACAAACGCTTTTTTATGCTGCAATACCAGATACTCTGATTATGATGAGGATGAATGACATGTGTTGGTGATATGTGACAGCTATTCCCAACCGGGAAGAGAATGTTTCGCTTACCATCTCATATCAACAGTTCCTCATGAAGTAATCAATATGCCTTGCTGTATCTCTTGACTGGTTTTCGATATGGATATTTATCGATAACAAAATGATATGAAGTATAAAATTTGAGGTCCGGAAACGACACCTACACCCAACCTTTAAGAAAAACAGACACAAAGATCACACGTTCAATACGGGTTTACACGATTTCATAAAACTAAACGACAAAAACTTGCTTTAATCATAGTCCGCGGCTCCACATTATCAGAAAGAGAACAGGTAATGATGATCGACCACAGCGTTTGATAACTGTCACATGTCTGATGTTTGTGTCCGGACAATCTAGAGTCAGGCACATATTTGCCCCCTCATGACGGCGTGTACTGATGTATTGGCATCACACAACCAATAGTTCAACAAGATTGTACAAATAAAAAACTGATCAGTAAGCTGTGTCGCCCTGTTGCATGGTCAGACCTTCAGTAGATGTTATCGTTTAATAATGGCCCAAAAGACAATTCCCTTTCGATGATTTACCCACCTGAACTAGAAATGGAAGAGATATTTGAAAACCGCCTCATCTGTTTCATAATACGATCTAGGCATACAGATCCAGAGAGACAAAAACATATCAACTGTTTGGCAACTTCAAGCTTGCAAGAGTCACCCTTCCTTTCATGTCGAACTATATGGCAATATAAAGAGAGGCTACAAACGGGATCTGTCGGTCAAGGTTCGTTGACATCGCCATCGTATCCCAATCGTCAAAGATTTATTATGTTTCTCTTACTTTTTTAGTAGTATGCCTCTATACTTTTTCTTTATTTGCTCGCGGGGCGGCATGGTGGCCAAGTGGTTAAAGCGTTCGCTCGTCACGCCGAAGAACCGGGTTCGATTCCCAACATGAGTACAATGTGTGAAGCCCATTTCTGGTGTCCCCCGCCGTGATATTCCTGGAATATTGCCAAAAAACGGCATACATCCATACTCACGCACTCAATTATTTGCTCGCTGTTGAATCGGTGTGTTAGATATTACTTCCTCTATCGTGGCTAATGTTTGTCACCTGTCTACATGTTCGTTGTACCTATAAACTACTTCCCCGTTGTGTGTGTCTCTCTTGGTATCATCAACCTCGGTGTAGATATTTCACGCTTCACTTAAATAATTAAAAGACTATATTTATATTACTTACCCAACAAGGAAGTAGTTGACGGTGGGACTGTTGGACCACACAGTGGCTTCGAAAAGTTTATTGATTCAATTAGGAGATAAACATACTGTGTTTTCAATGTAGAGCTAGGTTACCTGTAGATTTAACCCCGCTAAATTGAATTTGGAACCGAACGCGTAGCGTGAGGTTTCAAATGTTAAATTTAGCGCGGTTAAATCTACAGGTAACCTAGCTCTACATTGAAAACACAGTATGTTTATCTCCATTCTACCATGACTAAATAAAATGTGAACTCTTTGGTGTTAGCAAACATATTGAGTGAAGCGGCATGGGTTGAGTTCAGTGTTTTGAGTGGGTTATCGATCTGAATTACGGAATCACCAAACTAAATATGGTGCCGTATATACTCAAGCAGTTTGTTTACACCGTAATACTTCACTCGAACATATGACAGGCATTGAAAGCATATAAGCACAGCAACTTGGTAAGCTAACATGAGGTGGGCATCCCTAAAGAAAACAAAGCAAGCTTTGCAAGGCTTTCGCTCTACATCGCACGTCACCATTATGACGTCATATCGCTCAAAGTGACGCAAAAGATATGACGTCACAGTCGTATATAGTAAAGCGCCAAAATTCCAAGCTCTCTGTTGACTCCAAAACGTAAATACATTCCCTTTGTTGATTTCTGTCGTGTTTTTCTTCACAAAATGTATTGCCACACATCCTTTGAATATTGTAGTAACCTCATCTGTGCATTTTGTAACCTGTAATTGTAGATATAATTATGTACATATGCCTACCGACAATGACTGAAAATAGTACTAGTCTATGAATATTAACGTCAAACCAGCTGTTTTAATCAGAGGGGGTTTATTGTGATTTAATAGCCTCTGATTGACCAATCAGAATCGAGTAAATTCCAAATTCATGGTAGAATGAAACTTAACATACATGACAGCAACTACTCGCCTTTGTGTTCAGTGAAGAGAAGTCAGCAAACGTGAAGCGAATAATTCGAAAGCAGCATAATCTGGAACCTACACCCTTTCATACAAGTAAAACTCTCCCCACTGAATATATAATTGTGTGTAACGCACAGTACCTCGTACTGTATCGATCGGCCAATAAAGAAGGGACGGGACCTATAGTCATGTACATGTCAGAGTCTTCTGTGGGAAGTAAAGCTATGTGGTATGGGCTCGCCTGAGATAGCGCCTGTTAGCTGAACATTTCAACCACCAGACGCGGGTCATGACTAAACCTCACAGAAGCAAACCATCTAAAAATGAATAAAACGCAGTTGAAAGTAAAGACAGTAAATATAAAATAGGTTGTGTCTGGTTTGCTTTATATCAGGAATAACCGAACGATTGACACTAGTGGGGCTGAGTATTTATTCCTAATCATACGATAGAATTTTGCATCGAGTGTTAATTATCGAAATAAAAACAGTGTATTTACTCATGGAATTAAACAACTGTTGGCCATGGTTCATAACTATCTGATACTTCAAAAACCTTACACCTTACACCTTACACGTGGGTTAACCGCTGTCAGCTGAAAAGATCATACCACAGGGGCAGTCTATATATATTCGTCATTTAAAAAATTGTGAGTGAAATTGCGAGTTAATCAAAGTGAGTGTAAATAAAAGAATGACAATATGAAGCAGTGTCTTTAATCGTGGTTGATCTCCTGGGGTAGGTCCGGGGTAAATGTGATCCAGACAATGGCTTCAAAAATAGTTTTTGTAGTTATTCTAATTCATGCATGCTGGCGCTTTGTTTAAATGTTTCGGATTCATGTACATGTAATTTCCATTACCAAAATTCTATAAACACGTGCACACTCTTGTTTCCCAAACGTTTACGTTTGGACTACACAAAGGTTACAATATACAAAGTTCTTTATATGTTAAGATATATTTTAGATGTATTTGTATGGGTGGTGGTTTGGGATGTGTGATGAGGAGTTGGGTAATGTAACACATCTGTCAGTGGTGATATTTCCTTCTTGTGAACAGCTTTAATTCATCAGAACCTATATCAATACAATTCCTGATTCACTCTTGGGAGAGTTTGCTTCATGTTCTTCAGGTTCTTGAAATGTTAAAATAGTTGAGTTCATTTTAACCGGCGTGCCAGGGTTTGTTTGTGTTGCATGAATATTTAAAGGATTTGTTTTCAAGATAATCCTTCTCTTTTTGTCTATGATATCAGTATTTCCACTAAAGGCTTTGCTTCATAAACGGTAAACGTGATCTTCAACTTAATACATTGTGTACCAACATTTCTTGATACTGCTTACTCCCTGTGCTTTGTTGGTCAAAGTTTGTTTGCCTCCTAGAAAAGAAACCATATCATCTACAGGTTGTAATTACGATTTACACTTTTAGATTGGATTACTATTATGTGACTTAATAAGTTAAAGAAAACAATTCCTATTCGTAGAATATTTCCTTGTTATTTCCTAACGTTGTTTGGGTACCACTTCTGTTCCATGTGAACCTCAGTTGGCCAAAAGCTTGAACGGTTTCAGTTTTCCTACTTCTGGTGTGCCATCGAGTGGGGACTGCGTCTTCAGAAAGTGATCACTAGATGATAAAAAGACGTCAGCCGCCTTTTAATCCAAACTAGCTTCTCATTTTAATCTCGATCTCGATCCGTTTGCCTCGCCTAAAGTATCATTTGTGTACATGCTTTGAATTCAAAAGCTGAAATGATGTTATATTATTTTTTGACATCATGGCAACGAGACACCTCGAATGCAAATTATAAGAATGTACTGTTTCTCTTGACAGTTGATCCTGAACTGACAATAGTCGTTGGTAGCTGGAATCCAGGTCAAATATTTCAGATCAAGTTATCTTCATCAACTGCCACACGTCAGCGTGTAGCTGTAAGCAGCCGCCCTGTCGCCATTGACTACGATCCTGTGGAGAACACAATGTACTGGACGGATGTCCTACTCAAGCAGATCAGTGCGACTGATCTCACCAAAGGCACTACTCAGCTCATCCTGTCTTTGAATGACAGTAAGTTCTGTCCATTAATATTTGTCAGTCACCTGGAGGAGACGTATTCATATAATCTACACAGCTATACTACCTACTACGCCTATTGGAATCGGTTTCGGCAGATAATTCGAGACTGGTTATTCTCTGGCGTTAACGTTTTGTATTTACTTGAAATGAGTCAATGCTTCTCCTGTTGGTCAGGTCCCCTAGTTTCTATATAAGCCCAATGGCGTTTATCAAGTATGGTGAGACATTAAAACTGACCCCCACAACATACCCCCTCCTCTCCTCACTGCCACTGTGTTGCAAGGCGAACATATTTCTAAAACATGTTTCTATGCTCAGAAGCATCAGAATGTGAGCGCTTGTTCAGACCGGACGTAATTTAATTTCCGTTTTTAGTTTCAACAACATTTGTAAATGCTCCACCGTGTAACTGGGTTTACTGGTCCATCGATAACTGTGATTGTCTGGTTTGTTTACGGCAGCCGTCACATGGCAGGAGTATTGCTGTGCTTATTAAGTAATTTGTTTGGGAAGATTTCAGAATCTCTTGTTAGCATAGAACAATGACCCTGATAATTATATAATATTATATATACATGTATATATGCAGTTCCTGACGGCATTTCTGTCGATTCATCTTCGAGAAAAATATTTTACACGGACGCTGGAAATGACATAATTGCTGTCATGGACATGAATGGAAGCAACCATGACATCATCGTTACACAGGAACTCGACGAACCCAGGGACATCGTTCTTCATGAGGCAAACAGGTTGGTAAGATTATCCTTTCCTTGCAAGGCGTCTAGAAAAGTGGACACAGTTCAGGTAATACTAACGATTAAATACATATTTTCAGGACGATGTACTGGACAGACCCGGCAACAGCTTCATACATAGCCACAGCAGATTATGACGGAAGAAACATCAGAAAGATAGTCACCACCGGTCTGGGGTGGCCAAATGGGCTTACACTTGACAGGAACAGTTAGTGTTAATTTATTATATAAATGAACATAATACGTGTATCTATATCTTCAAGTAGTATATGTATCAGGTATGTTGCTAATTTTGTAGACCGCCTCCTCGATGTAGTGTATAGAGCGTCCGCCCGGAGAGCGGAATGCAGTGGGTTCGATCCCCGGCCCCGTCGTACAAAAAGACGTTAAAAGATAATACTGTTGTTATCCTGGCTGACGCTCGGCATTAAGGGGAAAAACAGGGACTGGTCTGAGTCTGAGTATGGTATTCATGTTAAAACTACTGCATGGTGTCTCAGTGGCTAGCACTTTAAAACCAGCAGGAAATTTCACACCAAGTGAAGGTCAATTCTTATTAATGTTATATACACGGATCTATTTTTTTAGTGTGATATTTGTATAAAATTGCAGATTCACCAGATACTGAGATCCTATGATCGTATTTATTCATAATATGTCCGATAAAAACATCCTGTTTTGTTTAGTCACAATAAGATTTGAACGTTATCATCCTTGGTAAGCTGTTTTGTTAAATACTCCCTCACAAGACTAAGAAATCTAAGACATTGACAATTTTGGTGAAACTCACGAGAACGGGTACGGTGCTGACAAACAAATTATCGGGGCATTTTAAGTTGAAATTGAGGGCGTGTCGAATAGGTGTTGAAATCAATCCATAGAGTTCACTCCAGAGTTCATGGTTTGTCGTTTGCTTTCATTCGTTTTGTGCACTATAGGATGGCATTCTACCACGGATATGAAGTCACAAACATACCATGAGTACAATTTAAAAGAATTTACGTGCACATGAACACCGATTCTGTATTTATTCACGTAAAAAAATTACTGTGAGTTTCCAAAGGACTGTCTAAAAATCCTTACGTGTTCAGATTATTTCTAGAATTCAGTCTTGTGAAAATCGTGTTTAAATGCTGCTTTCACCATAAGGTGATCATGACGGGTCTCTTGTCCAATAGAATAGCCGAATATCGAGTCAATATCTCATGAAGAACTATGTCATTTTGTACTCCTATCGTTCTTGCTTTTTCGTTTATAACTGAAAACCCTTACACAGAAGCATACCATTCAGTGACATTTCTTCCGTGTGCAAGTGATGTAAGTGACACAGTACGTTTTATATAGGTACAGATTACACAAAACTGGAAATACCATAGAAGTATAAAAACACATGGTGTTTGCAGAATGTACCCGTATGCATTTTACAAAATGTTGTTGGGTTTTATTCCTTGCACTTCACGTACAAATAGAAAAGTACGTATCTGCCTCACTTAATGTCTGAATGTTTCTGTCTCAAAACATGGGAATGATATTGTTTCATGTAAGCACGCTGTTAATATGTTGCTGATTATTTTCATTCAACCTTTGTGTAAGGTCTCCACGTTTCTCTTTCAATGTTAGATGAAATTCTGTACTGGTGTGACGCCAAGACACACAAGGTAGAGTCCGTCACTGTGGAGGGAACACAGAGAAGGGAAATACTGAATGAACCTGGGGCTCACTACTTCGGCATCTCTTTCCATGATGGGACACTCTACTTCACGGACTGGAGGAGATTGTAGGGAAAGATCGGTTGTATCTAGATATTTCAGCCACATTTGAATAGGTTAACTGTCGTCAGTTAAACGTTAAGGTTATGAGAAACTTTGAGACTTTCTTGGAAGATCAGTTGTTGTTTTTTAAACAATAAATATGTGCGTTGATATCTATACGAACTATTTTTATGAGTACAAAAAAAAGAGTTAGATCAACTATATCATTTATCTTGGTGATTTCGCACAGAGCAATACTCCACATGCCCGCTACAGGAGGTACTCTTGGTGTCATAGCAACGACTTTCTTGACACAGCTTGCTGGAATCCATGTTTTTTCTAACAGAAATTCCTCAGGTGATATTGACTTTCTTCAACTGAATGTTTGTTGATGCGATAAAATTGAATTAAGCTTATAATTACACACAAATATCCAATTACATGACCTTATTGATAATTGCTTCATCATGCAGCGATGTCTGCAAAGTGAAAGAATTGAAACTATTATGCATGGCTGGTCGGAGAGTGAATCAATTGATACAGCTATGGCCTTAATGTTACAATAAGATTTTGCAAAATGGCATAATCATAAAGTGTTCAAACTATGAATTACGAATATGGATCACTGCAACCCACCCTTTAAATGTATGATATTTCAGATTTATATCAAGTGAATATATTTCTTGAAGCAGTAGTAAAATATCGCATGCTCTTTAGTTGATATAGGACGAGCAGGTAAAATGTTGATTTGATTTACCGGAAAGAAAACAATATGATAGGTGTCCTAAACTGGTCATGTATTGGCGTAATCGAGTTAAAATCACTGCTAGCCCACAAGCGCCAGTGGTGTAAGTGAGCTCTTTCGTCATGACCTGTACCATCTCTTCGCCCGTCGTCCCTTATCGTTCGAATAACTACTGGGATGAAGGTTTCAGCCTGAAACTTTACATGATATGTTTCCTTATAATATAATGTGTTTCACGTGTATTGATTGCTTGAACACAGTGACGCCATTTTGACGCATCAGTGACAATCATGACCGATGCAATTCCTTAATTTGACTGGTGCCATAGATCGAGCAGGATCCACCTTGTATCATCACTATTTGATTGTGATTCATACACACATGTTTATCGTACAATGAGTGAGTGAGTATGGTTTTACGCCGCTTTTAGCAATATTCCAGCAATATCACGGCGGGGGACATCAGAAATGGGCTTCACACACTGTACCCATGTCGGGAATCGAACCCGGGTCTTCGGCGTGACGAGCGAACGCTTAAACCACTAGGCTACCCGACCGCGCCTTATCGTACAATGGACCTTTAGCAGAGGTTATTTATGATTATAGTTTTGTCGCTTACTTGGTTGCTCTTTGCAGAAGACACAAGGCCAAGAGAGTGAAAGCTTTATGAAGATGTGTTGGACAATAGTATGACTTTGGGTTTTTCATAACATAGCGCCACGGTTCGCTGTGCAGAATTGCGTCCCTTGGGCACGCCAGAAACCTATGATTGTTGCTTCGAATCCCGGTTCGCCCCGATTATGTTATGTGCTCGTGGGTTTCACCGAAGTGGTAAACGTCTGAGACCTTAATCACTTCGGACTTTCCTCCCACGTTAAGCTGACAAGCCATGATATAACTGGAAAACTGTTAAAAGCGATGTTAAACCCAACTCACTCACTCACTCATAACATAGAATGAGCAGTTCGTAAAGCTGATTTCCATTTTAGGGTGTCTTTCGGGCCAATACGGAATGGACTGTAGACGGTGTGGTAACTGCAACGAAGGAACCGTCTGTGAGAAGACCACAGGCTTCTGTATCGGTGGATGTAAGCATGGTTACCAGGGGAACGAGTGCAGACAAGGTATGTTTTTTAACAAATATATAACTCTATAAAAGTAAGGGATTCTCGGGAATAAAATGGTAAGAGACATTAGTTTCTAGTAATAGTTCAATGATTATAATTAACGAATAAGGAACACATTACAACCGGTAGGAAGGTATGACAGCAGACTTTTTGACCGTCAGCAATCTTGAAGGATGATATCGGTAAGATTGGAAAATTCAAAGATGCCGTTTGTGGATCAGCAGTATGCAATACCGACACGATTTGTCATCTTTCACGCGATGCGTCATACTGCGGCGATTTTGGGATGGTGATGGGGGTTCTGTCCCATTCCTCTTCCAAAGCCTGGCCAAGTTCAGCCAACGTGGTCGGCGGCCTATGATGTTGACGCACACATCTCCCTATCTTGTCCCAGACGTGTTCAATGCTATGGTGTAAAGGTCCAGGCTCATTGCTGGCCATGTCATTCTATTGATGTTGCGCTGTTGGAAGTGAGCAATGACGATTCCTGCACGGTGATAACGGGCGTTGTCGTCCCCACACGCCTTGCAAATTGGACAATAACGGGTGTCAGTATGTTGTCCCAATAGTACTGTTGATTGACCTCTCCTTGCACAATATGGAGTGGGGTTCGCCCAGTCATAGTGATACAAACCTACACCATAACTGAATCACCACTAAATCTGTCACCAGGTGAAAACATGACACGTGACCAACAACGATGACCCCAGTTTCGACGTTGTGTACACCATTGCCGTCTGTTGGCAATATGATTATTTGTAAGAGGCGGCACAATACGTGGCCGTCGAGTGTGGAGATGAGCCGCATGTGTACGATTTTTAACCCGTAACTCGTACTCCAATAGCCTGACAAAACTTTGCAGCAATTTGATCGCTCGATTTCGTAGAGCCTGGTTTCGGAACGATAGATCCCGTACCTTTGTTGTTGACCTTGGACGACCTGTACGTTGTCGATCGCCAACATTTGGGGGGTCGTTGGTACCTTGCCAAAATCTGCTAATCACAGACTATGAAATTGAACATATTGTCACTGCATGCTGGCTTCTGACAGTTTCAAGCATACCAATAGCCCGGAGAGGCTCCGAGCGTTACAATCGCCCCCATCGCTAGTTCATACACAGACAATGAATGAGATCAAGTAAGTCACAACAGTATGATAAGCGGAATCAATAAGATCGACAGAAATAATGGTCCACAGAGATTAATTTACCTTTCTTCAAAGTATCAGGAATGACATCCCACTCACGTGTTTGGCGCTACTGCGTGAGGCACGTGCATATTATAGGATGTGTTTTGGTGTTAGTGTTTACAGACATAAACGTTCTTTCATGTGAAGTTTATCGTCAACACTTATCTTTCATTTAATACTTGTTTGTAACATTTATATTTCATAATTCCTTGTTTTTTAAGAGTAATACAATTGCACATATTCTTATTTCATTTCCAGATTCTTAGAAATTGTTATGCAAATTTAATCAATTCAAATATCGTCTCACAGTGATGCATCTTGTGCCTTCGTGTCACTGTTGCATATTCTGTACTGTACAAAGTATGTATATTCTTTGTAAATAAATTGTTTATTTATTTCTCATTTGACCTAAAAGTCTGCAAGCCGAAAATAATTATTATCCATTTTCTCGTTTCATAATCACCCTTACATCGTTGTTAGTGTGTACGCCGGGAACCTACGGTGAAAGGTGTGTGTCGACGTGTGGCAACTGTACAGGACAAACGTGTAACCACGTCAATGGTACCTGCCCAGAAGGGTGTGTCGCAGGACGACGAGGGCACGACTGTAAAACAGGTGTGAACGTTCTTTCTGAGAGATGACTATATGATTGCGGGCTTATGTGTTAATTGATAAATAAAATCAACTATTCATGATCATAAGAGTTGCTAAACACCAATGTTACGATCGTCTGCACAGTACATACAAGATGATTATGAACACTTTGTAAGATGAAACCCCACAATTCGTTGAAGACAAAGTATTTCTCGTACTGCTTTATAGTTACATGTACGGTTGTAGCTTCTGAAAAACAAAATCATGAACATTTTAAAGAATGGTAAATAAAAGGTAATTGTGTTTAACTGAGTGCATATTTATTGTCCGCCAGACTGTCCGACCAATACCTACGGCACTGGGTGTTCTTCCTGTGGGTTGTGCGCTGGAGGCGTCCCTTGTAACACGGTGTCAGGTGTCTGTCCAGCTGGATGTCAATCAGGTTGGACCGGGAACAAGTGTGACAGAGGTAAATACTATTAGGTATCCTGACACATAAAACAAATAATGCCCTATTACCGTGTCAAATTATCGATACACAAGTGTTTCACTGATTTCACGTCCATTGATTTTTATATAATCTTATAGAGGGGGCACGGGTGGCCCCGTCGTCTTAGGCGCCGCAATTCGCTGTGCATAGTTGCGTCCCTTGGGCACGCCAGAAACCTATGATTGTGGGTTCGAATCCCTGATCACCCCGATTATGTTTCTAGCTTTGTCAGCACCATACTCGTGCTCGTGGGTTTCACCGAAGTGGTAAACCTGCATCACTTCGGTCTTTCCCCCCACATTAAGCTGACACGCCGCGATGTAACTGGAATACTGTTAAAAGCGGCGTTAAACCCAACTCACTCACTCATTTATATAGAGAGATATTTTCTTTTTCCGGTCAGCGTGTCTCCCTAATACTTACGGTGTCTCCTGTGAGTCATGTGGCCAGTGTGCTGCTGCTGTTCCTTGTGACAAAAGCTCTGGACTCTGTCCAGCTGGCTGTCAAGATGGTTGGACAGGCTCCCTGTGTAAAACAAGTAGGTGAACATATACTCTTCAAGGTGAACGGTGTTTTTTAATCTTGAAGGAAAGCAGCTCATTTTCATTGTTAATTAGTGGCTTAACGATGGCCTGCTAAAAGCATAAAGGAACATACACAGACGGGCTTTTTTATCCTTGTGAACCGATGTCTAAAAATTGTGTGAAACTTCCACAAGACACAGAATGTGTGTTTGTCAAGTGTATGATTCATGAATGTTGGACTTCACAGTTAATAACTCTACTGAATTAGAGCCTTGCAATATGTGCTTCTTATGTTAGTTACTACGTAACTATGTACAGAAAGGGAATATCGCATGAACCCCAGTACTGTTAAACTAAATAAAAGGGCAGTAAAGGTTTCGTGTGTAATTTATAATGAACTACCGATATCACGAAACAAACCCCATACAGTTCCGGTTAACCACATGTTTACACATATTTACACATACATTCAATTTTCATTACCCTCTTTATATATTATCTATTCTGGTGCCATTACTTATGTACTTTGCAGTGTGCAATCAAGGCACATACGGCACAGGATGTACATCGATCTGCTCAAACTGCCGAACAGGAAGTGTCTGCAGTCACGAGACTGGTCAATGTCCGGCTGGATGTGAGCCAGGATGGACTGGTTCTAAGTGTGACGAGGGTAAGCTATATCATTTACTTTGATTGTAATGTATTAGTATATCAACATAGGATGTGATCTAACATTCCATCTGGTAACCACATTCACATGGCAAGGCGTCCATCTTGTTTCCTATACTTTAATCATGTACGTATCATCAAATCCTTTTAGGCTCCACATACGATTTCTTCAGCAGTTTATTTTTATTGCACTTGAATGGGTGAGTGATTTTGTGACCTGGTTTAACAGTTATTCAGTTATATCATGTCAGCTTTTTGTGAGAGGAAAGCCTAAAGCGATGCATGCATTTGCCCTTTGGTGAAACCCACGATGCTGACAAGCCTTGAAACATAATCAGGGCGAATATGGGATTCGAAGCAACGGCCATAGGTTTCCCACACGCCTAAGTGGCGAAACGCTGCACAACGAACAGCGGCCTGCTAAGATGACTGTGCCACCCATGCCCTCTATTTAAAGGCATCATAGAGTCTCACTTGTACCTTTTCCTTTTTTACAGTGTGTAGCCAAGGTGCATTCGGCTCAGGATGCCTTTCTTTCTGTTCCAACTGCAAGACAGGAACTGTATGTAATCACGTGACTGGTCAGTGCCCGGATGGCTGCCGACCTGGATGGAGGGGAACTAAGTGTGATGAGAGTAAGATCATCACATAATACTTTTGTGGAATTAACAATAAGAATGAGTTGACAGATATATATAACATCTTCAGATGAGCACGTGTTGGTGAATCAATTCGTTCATCCAACAACTTATAATTACTTTTCTTCCAACACAGTATCTACTTTGTTTCAAATATATCAATATCGGTCCCAATTACCAACAGGGAAATAATCATACGCAATCGAAATTGTCTTGACACTAGGCTGAAGCAACCAATCAGCAACTCGTCTCTCATGATTAGACTCCCAAGTCACAGACAGTTTTCAACATTGTCCATCAAGTTGTTCACAGATTTGTAAGGGCTATGGGGTAGGCTAGTGGTTAAAGCGTTCATTCGTTACGCCGAAGAACCCGGTTCGATTCTCCACATGGCTACAATGTGTAAAACTCATTTCTGGTGCCCCCGCCTTGATATTGCTGTAATATTGCTAAAGCGGCATAAAACCTTACTTAATATTCACTTTCTCACTGAATTGTATTTTCAGAGTGCTATCCGGGTACACATGGACCTATGTGTTCATCGCTCTGCTCTAACTGCTATACTGGTACCGTCAGTGTGTGCCATCACGTGACTGGCCAATGCCCAGATGGATGCCAACCTGGATGGACCGGAGCCAGATGTGATGCTGGTATGTTATTCCTCTCGCTTCTTTTGGCTTGAAGATTACTTTTCTTTGTCATGTCAGAATCTGCTGATTTATGATTTCAATCTCAGTTTGGCTCTAATTATAATCCTTAAACTGGTTCGTCAACGTCACATCCGTGTTCGTGGGTTTCACCAAAGTGGAAAACGTGCACAGGCTAGCATTTCGTTATATTTAAAGGTGGAAACTGGACTTTTACGGTAAGATGCCTTTTCTGCTTGCGTACCTGTATTCCCTCACATACGTTTACTTTCTGATCCCGTGCAGGCATAACTAACATGAACACTTACCTACTGATGTGAATCTTACAAGTGCTATATTACAAGTTGAACATGTCAGCTTATGCAGCATGATGAGTGAGTGAGTGCGTGAGGTTTTACGCCGCTTTAAACAGTATTCCTGTTATATCACGGCGTGCCAGCATAACGTGGGAAGAAAAGCCGAAGTGATGGGGGACGCAGACGTTAAGCACTTTCGTGAAACCTAAGGGCACGGGTATGGTGGTGACAAACCTAGTAACATAATCGGGGCGAACCGGGATTCGAACCCGCAACCAGATTTCGAACGTGTCCAAGGGACGCAACTCTGCACAGCGAAAAGACGACTGAATAGCTGTATTTCATTTGTTGTACATTGTGTCTGATGACAAAATGTATATTTTTCTAGACGGCTCCTAAATTAACATAACTTATTGCAAATGTGTACATAAGACAAGAATATTTGCATATCTAATTAATACCAAGTGCCCACAACATCTTTTGGACATTCCCGCGCAAATATTGTTCTGAAAATATGTATTTCTCTTTTGCAGCGTGCAGCAGCGGCACATTCGGGACAACGTGTTCATCCGTCTGCCACAACTGCAGGACGGGAAGCGTCTGCAATCACGTGACGGGTCAGTGCCCTGATGGGTGCAAACCGGGCTGGGTTGGAGCGAAGTGTGATGAGGGTAAGATTACTTTAATGATGGTAGTATCCAACTGCTGTAACACTGTACCGTTGTAATATGTCCTGAACTTGTAGCTGAGACACTGCAAGATGATCAATGTACATACATGCGTCACCTATGTTGCTGATTATATTTCTCAATGCAACATGTTTACCCTTTTCGCGAACACCTGGTGTCGTAATTAATTTCTGTGATCCATTCATGTAATTTTCATCGATATTTTGTTCTCTACTTTCGATTATGATAATCGAGAAATATTCCCTGGACGTGACGTTCTAGAAAGATAACATTCCATATAATGCAATATATATTATATTTCAGATGAAAATGGTTCGTACATTTTGTAAAGCAGCCTATACTTACCCCCTTCTCAGCCCTAGCATCCTAGAGTCATCCCCTCCTCATTTATTTATTTATTTATTTATTTATTTATTTATTTATTTATTTATTTATTTATTTATTTATTTATTTATTTATTTATTTATTTATTTATTTATTTATTTATTTATTTATTTATTTATTTATTTATAAGTATATGATATTGATATTAGATTAACTGATACACCCTAGAGTAATTCTTCTCCATCTTCTCTACACTCAATGGTATTTTTACTTTGTTTTTAACATGGTCTTGGTTTTTATTTTTGTTTTGTTTTCCGTATTTTTCATCTCAATATATGCAACCTAAAATATATCTATTTCTCATGAATACATTTTTCTCTCACAGTTTACATTTTTGGGTCAGGTGTTTTATACCTCAGTGCCCTTATCTTTTATCAAATTAACCTTACATGACTCCGACATTGGCATGTTCAGACGAGGACGATACATCTCTAGTGTAGTAGTAGTATTTCAGGGAGTACATGTTTGTCTAACTATGGATGCGTAATCCAATTGTTTTGTAAGCTTTGGGACATTAAACGAACATGGATCTTATATGTGCGCTTTACTGTATACTATCACGATTGTTTGTTATAATGTAACATTCCATATTATGCAATATATATTATATTTCAGATGAAAAGGGGGGAAAACCCAGTGACAGCAACATTGGTTCGTAACTTTTGTAAATTATTCATTGATCATATGGTTCTCCCTGTAAATTTATGTATAATGAACAAGCATCGTACTTTACAGACAAGTGAAAGATGCATATTATTGCTGGTGTGTCCGTGGACATGTGTCTACCTCACGACATAATATAATTATCAAACAATTTGGAATGCGTATGATACCTTATTATATACTTGTATTCAAACCTTAAGACCATATGCAGGCTGTTAAGACTTCTTAGCAAAATAAACACAACGCCAGCATACCAACTTCATTCCTCGAAATGACCTGACAAAAACATGTTCACTATTATCCACTAAAGTACGGAAAGGTATGGAAATCCATAACTGTGTAAAAGACATCTGTGATGTCTGTCCTCCATGTAAGATAACATAGTGTGCCTTATTTATTCCATGCTTCACTTCAGCTGTAATTGGAGGTTCCGTGGGTGGAGCTGCCCTGCTGTTCGTAATTGTCATCGTCGTCGTTGTTATCGCAATTGTGCTTGTCAGGTGATTACCATACTTTCCTCTCGCTGATAAATTTAAAAACCAGGGTTAGTATGATGATGAAAACGTCTTTTTAATTATAAAGTTGAAAATGTTTTTTTCTTTTCTCTTTTCTCGTGTGGTAATTCATGAAACCCTTGGACTACATGTATATTAAAAGTTATTTGTTTATAAGACAATAAGAGGACCGAAACATATAATGCAAAAATACTTATTATCATGATTTATTCAGAAAACAACACAGTTAACCTTTCAATCTGTACATATAAAAAATACAGTTTTGATTATATTGTACATTTCGAGGTACATGTATATGATATTATTCATCAGACTTATTCTTGACACACCTAACACACGTTAACGGAACACATGAGACATTAAAATCGAACTCGTCCGAACTCGTTTTATACGGATATCATCATGACTATCCCGGTAATTGTTCTACGCCATGCATAACATTTTGCTGAATACCATTCATAATTATTTTCAGACGGAACAGACGTCCCCGAGTTAATGATACAGGACCGTACGACACATTGCAAATGGTCAACCAGCCCATCTATTCTGTGACAACAGATCTGCCTCCACAATATGCCACCGTCGCAGACGTTCACACACTTGACTACAGTAGACTTGGACGACTGGGCAACGCCCCCCGTCAAGATGAGGATGAGGATCACGTGTATTCCCGACCGTTGTCATTTATTGTTAACGACGAAAGCACGCAGTGATCGCGTCACACATTATACCATAAGATTATACACGATATACGCTTGATAGGTATATGTAATATCTGCACTGAAACAATAATAACACTTCTTTCTCCAGGTTAAAGATACAGCCAAAAATATTGTTCATTTGCGTAGTTTTGTCTTAGCCAAACTGATAGATACATGGAATAAATAATCTTATACCATATCAGTACTGACATTTAATAATTAGGATGGGAAAATCATTTTTTTAATCTCGCTGTTGTTTGGGCCCATAGAGATGACAATCATTGCAACATCTGTCGTAAATCTATGGGTTCCACTTAAATAACAGTATCTTCACAAAACCTAGATTGAAACACATTCGAATAATACATGTATGGTAAGGACGATATGAAACGTAAAAACGAGAAAAGTAATTAAGAATTGTTATTTTACTTTCAGTGTTATGTAAAAAATGCCTTGTCATACTTAATCTCCCATCTTTACATGCCCATGAGCATATACGTGATAAAACAATTACTCCCAGTCTATGTTTATTCCCTTTTCAGTCCTTGCCGCCTATATTCATCCCTTTCTCATGGCCAGCAGTCTATACACATCCCCTACCCATCGATAGCAGCCTATAACCATCGCTTCCCATCGCTAGCAGCCTATAACCATCGCTTCCCATCGCTAGCAGCCTATAACCATCGCCTCCTCATCGCTAGCAGCCTATACTCATCCCCTTCCATCGCTAGCAGCCTATAACCATCGCCTCCCATTCGCTAGCAGAATAAACTCATCCCCTTCCCATCGCTAGCATCCTATAACCATCGCCTTCCCATCGCTAGCAGCCTATACGCATCCCTTCTCATGGCTAGCAGCCTATACTCATCATGCAAGTTGTCCCAATTCCCATCCCATAATGAATATATTGAAACGTATAATAAGTACATTACAGATGCCCTCCATGCATCTACTGCAGTAAGTATCCCATCAACGAAGTTTAAACCCTACCTCAAACCCTACTGGAAAAAAGACAACCTGAAGTTATTACATGATGAAATGCGCAGTAAAAGACGACATTGGCAAGAGAATGGCAGGTCACATGCTAAGAACGATGAGAACTTTGTTAAATATAAAGAAGCAAAGCGTAGTTTTAGAAGACAGCATCGTAGATCCAAACAATCGCTCATAGATAGCAGACTGAAAGAACTCTATGAGGCAGCTGAAATAGATGTACATGAATACTTTAAAACTGCAAAACGATATCACAAAACTAAGGGCCAAGTACACAAACTTCTTTATAAATGTAATCAAAGTAGTAACGCAGAAGGTATTTGTGGAATCTTTGGTAAATACTTTCGAGACTTGTCAATCCCAACCATGGAAAGTCATTTTGACTGCTCTTTTGCTGAAATATATTGAAAACAACGAAACATCTGATGCTGATAACGATGTAACTGCTAACCATCCATTGAAGAGACCATTCACCATTGCAGAGGTAGTAAGTACAGTTAAAGGACTGAAAAACAATAAATCTCCAGGACCTGATGGGCTCACAAACGAACATATTAAGTATGCGGGAAGATCTTTATAAAGCATATTATGGTATTATTCAATGCTATCATTAAACATGAATATATACCCAAAATGTATCATATTGGCGAAATCTTACCAGTACATAAGGGACGAGGAAAAAGTAAAAGTGATCCATCTAACTACAGGGGCATAACACTAACTTCAGTCCTAAGTAAGCTTTTCGAAAGAATGCTTCTCAACAGAATCGAAAAATGGACAAGCGACGATGTAGCCTTCCCTCACCCACTACAGTTTGGATTTAGAAAAAATGCTGGTGCTGAAACGGCGGCTCTCACTCTTCTAGAAAGTATTTCATACTTTAACGAAAGAAACTCACCAGTTTATTGTGCCTTCCTCGATAACGAGAAAGCCTTCGATCGTGTTTGGCTTTACGGTCTCTTCTACAAATTACATAAATTTGGTATCAATGGTAAATTATGGAGAATTCTACGTTTATGTACTCATGTGTTAGCTTTGCCGGCTTCAAATCTGATGTTTTCCCTGTTAAACAGGGTGTAGGTCAGGGTCGTGTCATATCAGCATGGCTCTTTACTCTTTATATAAACGATTTGCTTCATGAACTAAGCAATTCCGGTTGTGGACTATGTCTCCCATGGGGACGATGCCAAGGAATACTGTTAGCAGACGACACGACCTTGATCAGCTGTAACACAACAGGTCTTCAAATGCTCCTAAACGTTGCAGAAAATTATGGTAACAAGTGGCAGTTAAAATACGATGTGTTGAAAAGTGCTGTCCAAACGTTTGGATGTAGTAAAAAACAGTGTCGCCTGAACATCTTTACATTGGTAAGATAAAATTACCTGTTCAAAAGGCAATTGTCTATGCGGGAGTGTACATAAGTACTGCTAAAACTTCGGTAGAAAGAACGAGGTTAGCATGTGAAAAACTGAGAAAATTGATAAATATAAACCATGATTCTGGCCTGTACTTTGGTGGACTTAATCCTATAGCCGCCGTGCGCATCTGGCAACGAGTGATATTACCCTGTGGCTTATATGGATGTAATGTGTGAGGAAAACTATCCTTAAAGGAATATGAAATGCTAGAAATCACTCAACGCTATTTCTGTACAAAAATCCAGGGTTTTGGAAACTTGCTCTCGATAGACCAGAATATTTTACTTCCTTAGCTAGACTAGTTCGCTTAGGTTCAATGCCAATAGAATCAAAGGAATGTATTTGTGGAACAGTTGCGAATGATACAGTGAAACACGTTTTCATTTCATGTCAAAAGAATTTAGAAGAAAGAAATATCATATATGATAAAATCATTGATTTGCTTGATGTTAAAATATTTGTGAGAATCTGGGCAGACTATGACACCTTTCTGACTTTTCTGCTTGGCGGTTTACCTGAACAACTTGAAGTAGAATTAGACTACAATGTATGGGCAGAGAGCATGGTAAATATTGGTGGTGCAGTTAAAAAGTGGGATGAAGTCATCCGAAGCTGCTTATACTAAACAATGTATGTATTGTAAACAAGTGTACATTTGTAAATAACACATGCTAATTGTCCATCTAATAACACAAATAATCAATACGATACATATGTATATGAACTACTTCTGACATACTTACTTACTTACTTTGGAGATTTAACGTGCGCTTTCCGACTGATGCGTATTTCGCACACGCATACTTCTGACATATATGTAATATATATATGTATGCGTGTGTGCACATTTCTACTATAGATGTTGTCCTTTCACTGTATACCTTGTACTCATCATGAAATGGAGGAAATAAAGAAGATCTATCTATCTATCTATCATCCCCTCTCATGGCTAGCGGCCTATACTCATCTCCGCCTCATTGCTAGCAGCCTATAGCGCTATACTCACCCCCTTCTCAGCTCTAGCAGCCAATACTCACCCCGTTTGCCTATTATCATCTTCTTCTTCGCCCTAGTATCTTCGAATCACCCCTTCTCTTTAACCAAACACAGCCTACACTCATCCCCTTCTCAACCCTAGCATCCTATGGTCATCCTCTCCTCTGCCCAGGGAGCCTAAACACATCCCCATTCTTCGCCCTAGTAGCCTGTAGTCATGTCCTACTCAGCCCTAGAAGCCTACAGTCATCCCGTCTCAGCCCTAGCAAACTATGCTCATCCCCATCTCAGCCCTGGCAGCCTAAACCTATCCCCTCCTCAGCCCACGGAGCCTAAATACATCCCCATCTTCGCCCAAGTAGCCCACAATTAGCCCTTCTCACCCGTAGCAGCCTATAATCATCCCCATTCCCACCCCTTGTACCCTACCTTAATACCCTTCTCAGCTTCAGCCCTGAAAAATGAGACTTGAGGGTTCCCTAATAACAGTCATTGTATCTAATCGTACACATAACTATACTGCAGCTATGAATTTCAAGAATATTTTCTCTTTATTTATGAGTATATGATATTGATATTAGATTAACTAATACGCCCTATAATAATTCTTCTCCATCTTCTCTACACTCAATAGTATTTTTACTTTGTTTTTAACATAGTCTTGGTTTGTATTTTTGTTCTGTTTCCTTTTTTTAATCTCAGTATATATACAACCTAATATAAATCTATTTCTCATTTATACAATTTTCCCTCACAGTTTACATTCTTTGAGTCAGGTGTTTTATACCTTAGTGCCCTTATCTATTATCAAATCAACCTCACATGACTCCGACATTGACATGTTCAGAAGAGGACGATAAATCTCTAATATAGTAGTTGTATAAGCTAATTGATCAAATGTTCAAGTCGCTTGTCACTCATTGATTCTGTGTGCGCTTTTCTGCATGTATGTCATTATGCTTGCGAATTGTAGTATTTCTTCTTGTGATCAATGTTATACTTGTAATGCTTATGTTGAGTGTCGGTGAGGATAAATGCACCCCTGTGTTGTGTGTGTGTGTGTGTGTGTGGGGGGGGGGGGGGGGGGGGGGGCGTATAATCTACGTATGGTGTACGTGTGTGCGTGCGTGTGTGGGTGGGGTGGGGGGTGGGGTGCGTGAGTGCGTGCGTGTGTGTGTGTGTGTATAATGTACGTATGGTGTGTGTGTGTGTGCGTGTGTATGGTATAATGTACGTATGGTATGTGTGTGTGAGTGCGTGTATTTGTGTGTGCGTGTACTTGTGCGTGTGTGTGCGTGTGTGCGCGGTATGGTGTGGGGTGGGTGTGTGGGTACCTAAGTGTTTGTGTATGATTGTGTGCGTGACTTTATAAGTAATTTGGCGTGGGTGTGTGCGTGTGCGTGCGAGTGTTCATAACCCAACCTTAATTTTAAACATTGTGTTAGTATATTTCTTATTTTACCTTACCCAGATCATGACGTTATAATTTGCTTTTATGTCTAAGTGTCTCGTAGGCCATACCTGGTCGGATGTTATATTTTACTGTTCGTGTACGTGTTTTAGTATGAAGTGTATATAACATGTGATACTATGATAAACATCATTCTCTCTTTTACCTCTCTCTTTTACCTATCAACAAAAAACCGTTAAAGGTGAATGAGCATTGTTTATATAATTAAGCTCCAAAAGGCATCAAATTGTAAACAAAGCACCAAAACGCGACATGTGACATGCGATGCTACAAGAAAATTCATGCAGATGTTGGGTATAAAATCGAAGTAATGAAAACGCCAACATCAATTCACATCGCATGCTGCAAGAACACAGGAAAGGGTTATGCCAAGATTGACCCCTGAGCAACGCGAACGCGCCTTTGGCATGTTACATGTTGGCATGATCGGTTTGGGTGCCATCATTCCACAATTAACAGACTTTATCTGAGATCCAGCAGACCAGAACCACAAGAGATCGCCCTCGTTTTGGCCACTTCCATCTGCCAGGACTGCTGCCACTACACCAGGTCGACGTGGAAACATCAGCACAGACATTCTACATCACCGAAAGCGAACCGCCGGTCTACTTGCCCGATGAACTTCCGTTGGCCACGTCCTGATGCAACGACATCGAAACGGTCGCCGGTGCTGGGCTGAGGGACATCGTCACTGGAGCTTACAACGCTGTAATGGTGTCCTGTTTTTAAGGACCCTCTTTTGCTAACTATCCGGTTCCATCATAACATCACCCTCATGCATTAGAAATTTCTGACAGTGCACCCTTAATGCCTCACTGTGCAGTTTTTCAGTTCGCAAACATGAAGCAAGGGCTATATACCAGCCCCAGAACTTGCTTAGATAAAAATAAATACCCACTGGCGCTTCTGGAATGTAACGTTATGGTAACGTTATGTTTTGAAATCATCTGTAAAGAATGTGATAGTGTTCGATATTACTAAATTATCTCCCCTATTTGATAAAATACATTGTATCTTCCCATCCCCCATGAACCCATAACTTATTGGAGAGAAACCCTTTTTTAAGCTGGTATTGCCAAACACTGTTTATTTCTGAATAAAAATAACAACTTTTGTGTCCAGATAACCTCTTTTTTTCCTAATTTATATGGAATTGCTTTGCCTCCTTCTAACTGGCAAATAATTTACTTCCTACTTTCTGGTCAGGTTCATTACCTCGCCGCACATGTATGACAACCTGGTCAATTTAGGTTTACATAATATGTATATATATATCGGGTGGCATATGTATACTCAACAACAAAAGTTCCTGTGACACCAATATTTTAGTGTATATTTCAAACAAGTAAAGTTTGGTT